CGCCAAACCACCCCAACCCAACCCGAAGGCCTCAATTTGCCCTCCGTTTCCAGTTTGGGGGGGGGGTCGGGGAACATTGAAAAAAAAACACATATGCACCCGTACCCCCCCCAACCCGAAATTGGGGTCTTCGGTTTGGGTTGGGGTGGTCTGGTAGGTAGTCAGCCCCCCACGCTGCCATCGGACATGCCACTTGGGAGCTGGTCGGATCACCTCCACCAGATACGCAGCAGTCCCCGCAGATGCGTTGGAGGAAAACGCCGCGACAACCCACTCTTCGTCCGTCGTGTTTTTTTTTTTTTTTGTTTTTGTTTTTTTTGTTTGCGCGGGTGCTGTACTCGCTACCGCCGCCGAGCTTGGGCGAAACGGAGGGCCTGTCAGGTCATCTCGGCCGACGTCCGCGCTGCGTACCATCGCCTCACAAGTTCCGCCTCCATGGCCCAAGGACCCTCCCCAAACGAAACCGCCCGTTATGTTCGGGGTTGGACAGAACCCCCAACAGTGACACGTCGATTAGTGAATTGTCCGTTTTCGCTTCTCGAGAGGGCGCCGTGGCCGTCATTTTCCAGGCTTGCGCCCGCCAGGTTTGAGCTTCAGGTCGTTTTCACTAAACCACGTTTTACTAATGGGGGGTCTGTCCATCCCCGATATGTCATTCAGATATGGTTGGACCCAGCGTTCGTGCCTCGTGCGTCTTGGCTATTCGCACGTGCGTCGTGCGTCTTGGTCATGTGCACGTGCCTCAGCCTGCCTCCTCGCCCTCCTCGTTTTGCTCCTCCTCCCCCCCTCCTCCTCCCCCTTTTCCTCCGTCTCATCCTCCTCCTCCTCTGCCTCCTGAGTTGGCCACGGGAAGCGAATGAAGTCCCAGCCAAGAGGCCCCAGACTACATCAAGACAAGTATTCGGTAGGCTAAGGCAAACACGGTACCCAAAATGACGAATATATCAATCGATCGATATATCTATATATCTATCTATATTTCTATCGATCGTTCTATCTATATACATATAGATATATATAGATCGATATATATCTATATATCTATATATATACCGTTACCTATCTATATCTCTATATATATATATATCTATCTATCCATCCATCTATCTATCTATCTATCTATCTATCTATATATACATCTATTGATATAGAACCAACCAAACAATGGAAAACAAGGCGACGAAGTAGGTAAAGCCGAATACGGCAACACCGAACATCGAAGGCGCAGTGGCGGTTGTTGGGGGGGGGTATATATATATATATATATGTGTGTATGCACATCGGTATACATAAAAAGTTGTAAGTATACACATAATGTGTACACACATGTATAACCATATACAGATGCGTTCACATCAGTATGATGTTCCTACTTCTAGTTATAATTGTGTAATATATATATATATATATATATATATATATATATATATATATATATATGTGTGGCGTATGCTGTATGTGCTAATAATTGTGTATGCGTATACGCATCTATACAAACACGTGTATACAGAATTGTGCACTTGTATACATAAACATATTACTCATCTTCACCCGCGTGCGATAGATGTTCGGATTCGGTTGTTTGCCACCTGTTTCTCATCATGGCATTCCTCTTCCACTCCATATCCATTTATCCATCCCTCCTCCCTCTCCACATCCTCCTCCTCTCTAATCCACTTCCTTGTTCCCCTGTCCCTACCTCATGACTCCCTGTTTCGCCCCCTGTCACCCGCCCTCCCTCCCCCTTTTCCTGTCATCATCATCCTCATTATCCTGTGGCCCCACTGAACACAGGAGGTCTTCAAGTCATTCGCCCACCGATCTCTTCTCCTCACACTCCCTCCTTCCCCTTCCTCTGCCTCCCCCCGCTTCCCTCCGACGTCTCCCTTCCGCCCTGTCCTTCCTTCTTCTACCCTTCCTGCCTCCACCCTCCCTCTCCTTGTCACCCCTTCGGATGCCGGGGGAGGCCCCCGGAGGTCCGCGCGGAGCTTGCAGGGGGAGCCGGGAGGCCCCCCGAGGGCGAGGAGCGTTATAGAAAGTCCTTCGAGCCTCGAGGGCCGCGGCGGGAAGAGCGCCCAGCTGCCTCGGTGCCTCCCTCTCCTCCTCCCGCTGCTCCTGCGCCCGCTCCCTCCTCCCTCCTCCGCCCTCCTCCGCCATTGCCGCCTCCCTGCCTCCTCTCCCTCCGCGTCTCCCCTCTCTCCTCGCTCCCTCGCTTCCTTCCTTCCTACCACCCTCCTCCACCTGGGCGCGTCCCCTCCTCCTCCTCCTCCTCCTCCTCCTCCTCCTCCTCCTCCTCCTCACTCGCCCTCCCCTCCATCTGACGTTGCGGAAAGCGTGCAACATCGCAAGAAATACCAAAACTCTGGACCCAATCCTTCCGCTAGCCAGATCGACCTCTGAGGGTCCAGGGGCCCGCAATTGGGCGACAACGCCCTGTTTCACAAAAATTGAGACGGCAGGATCCCAGGTCGGACGGGGCTAGGACGAAGAGAAAACCGTTGCAGAACGTTCCGGAACGCTGTCAGAGCGTTCCAGAACGCTCTGAGAAGGCCGCGACGCCCGATACATCCTCCAGAGCCACCCGATCTCAGAGATCCTATGTATCATCACCCGGATTTGTCCTCGTCTTGGCTTCATCTTATTCTGTGTCCCTCCGCCCCTCCCTCCTACCCCCCTCCTCTCCCTCCTCTCCCTCCTCTCCCCCCTTCCCCCCCCCCTCCCTCTTCTCCCTCTCTCCTCCCCCCCCCCTCCTCTCCCTGTCGAGGCGACGCTGGAATCCCCGCCAGGGTTGGACCTGAGCGCCCTGCGGAGCGCGCCCGGGCCCCGGGTGTGCGGGCCCAGCCTTTGAGGAATTCGGGGAGGCGGGGTCCGCTGGCGCGTCTCGGCGCTGCTTATGATCGCGGGCATAAAAGACCCGACCCTGGTTTACGAGGCGCTGTGCGCTGAAACTCCTGTGGGCTGACAGGGTAAACCCTGCGTGATGTGCCGCGTCCTGGCGGCTCTGGGCTTTGGGGGTTCCCAGGAGGTTTACAGACCACGCACTTGTAACCCAGGGTAGGGTCTTTTTTTATACCTCAATAGGAGCCACCAGTCCGCGAGTGGGGGACCACGTGCGTTGGACTTACTGGGATCGCGTGCCCCGGGTGTTCGTTTCGAGCCTGGGGCCAAACTCCGCACCGACGGCTTTGGCTTTCTTTCCATCACCTCGTCCACCTCGCCCGTGCTGGTGCTGCCCGAGTCCAGGTGGGAGCAGCGGTCACGCTCATGTGTGGACTCGGCGCTGCCTCCTCCTCCTCCTCCTCCTCCTCCTCCTCCTCCTCCTCCTCCTCCTCCATGCTCCAGGGCAGCGGGACCGCAGGGCACAGTGGCATTGCCCATGCCCCACTATATGGCATTGGCCACTGCACGTCCGACTCTCCGCACGCAGGCTGCGCCACACTGTTGGAATCTGCCCACCTCCACGAGTGGACCCTGTCGGGTGCCACCTCCCAGGCCAACGCGTGGCGGGAGGTCGCCACGGTTGTGCCAGGCGATCGGTCGTCGATCGTCATGGCGTAAGAGCACCGCAATGATGACGCCATTCCGAATGAGGACACATCTTCTTTGCAGGGGGAATCGGGTGACCGACCACCACGCGCGAGGCTTGCATTACGGAGCCATGGTTATGATGAACACATGTGCGGCGTAGTCGTCTACTTCCCGATGATATAAACGACCCTATTTCATGGGATAGGGCAAGTTTTCAGGGGGTGGTCGTCTTTTCGAGGGTTGGGTGAGTCGTTCTATGGCTGTCCATCGGAAGCAACTCCCATGGTCCAAGCCCTTTTTCACACCACACGGTCGTCATGCTTCTTGGCAGCCCAAGTTGCAGTGTGTTCGGGCGAAGGTTTGCGTGTCGGTTGGGATGCTCACGTCCGAGCCCTTCGATGGACAGCTTCTGAACATGCCTTCGAAGATCACTACGCTGTAGATGCCTCGCGGATCGAGAACAGTTGGCTCCATGTGGTTGGTGGTTCTGCATGTGGCGCCTGTCCGGGCCGGAGGAGGAGCAGAAGGAGGTGGGAGGAGAAGATGTTGATGATGCTGATGATGATGTTGAGGAGGAGGAGGAGGAGGAGGAGGAGTAGGAGGAGTAGGAGGAGGAGGAGGAGGAGGAGGAGGAGGAGGAGGATGAGGGGATGGGAAGATGAGATGGCAGCAGGAGGAGGAGCATGGACGATGCAGGCAGGAGCAGCAGGAGCCGCAGGGTGGGAGGCGGGAGAGAGCAGCGGGAGGGAGGACGAAGCGGGAGGGCGACGCGGACGATGCGGCGGGGCTCGGCGTCGAAGACGCCTCGCTCTTCCTCCGCCTCCTCCTCCTCCTCCAGAATTTCCGAAACAGGGACGCGGCCTTCTTGCGCGGGGTCCCGTCTTTGAGAGCGGCCCGCCCGTCTTGGGGCCCTGCCCGGCTCGCTGGCTCCTCCTCCCGTCGGCTGCCGCCGTCTCGTGATGCTTCATCTGTGCGACGCCTCCCGCTGCCTCCCCGGGGTTAGCCTGGCTAGGTAGAGAGAGGAGGACGGGGAGGCGATGAGGAGGAGGAGAAGGGGAGGGAGGGAGGGCGAGGGAGGACGAGGGGTGCGGAGGAGGAGGAGGAGGAGGAGGAGGAGGAGGAGGAGGAGGAGGAGGAGGGAGGAGGAGGAGGAGGAGGAGGAGGAGGAGAGGAGGAGAGGGAGAGGGAGGAGGAGGAGGAGGAGGAGGAGGAGGAGGAGGAGGAAGAACTGTAGGAGGCTCCTGCCCTCAGCCTTTGACCTCCTCGTCCCGCTCCTCGCCCCCCACCTCGCCCCCGTCGTCGCCCGCCTCTCCCAGCAGCCCTTGCTCTTCCCCCTCCTCGCCTCCCTCGTCGTCGCTCTCCTGGTACCCCTCCTCGCCGTCGTGCTCGCCCTCGCCGCCGCCCCCCTCGCCGTCGTCCTCGCCGCCGCCCTCGCCCTCCTCGCCCCCCCCCCCCCGGCGGCGGCGGCCGAGGCCGGCGCCCCCCGCGGCGGCGGCGGCGGCCCCCGACCCGCCGCCCGCCGCCTCGGCGCAGGGCCCCCCCGGGCCGCCCGCCGAAGGAGCCGCGGCCAGCCCTTTGCCCTGGCGCAGGGCAGGGGGCCACCGCTCAAGCAGTGGCGAAGCGTCCCGGCTCGCCGATGGCCCCACCAAACAGTGTTCCAATAACCTTTTTGTGGTCCCCACGAAGTGTTCTTAGAACATATCTGGCTGGGAACGTTTGGTTGTAGCACATCGGGTGTATGTTCTAAGAACATGGTTTTTGCTCTTAGAACATTTTTGGGTTCTAGAAACATTTCGTGGTATGACTATAGGAATGCCAGGACGGTCGGTCCCTGCTCAAACCGCGCGCCCCTCGGGGGGGGGCGCTGCGCCGCGGCGTCTTCGGCGCGGCCTGGGCCTCGGCGTCGTCGCCGTGGCGCCGTCGTCGTGGGCGCCGTCGTCGTCGTCGTCGTCGTCGTCGTCGTGTTCGTCGTCGTGTTCGTCGTCGTCTTTGTCGTCGTGGTCGTCGTCGTCGTCGTCGTCGTCGTCGTCGTCGTGTTCGTCGTCGTCGTGGTCGTCGTCGTCGTCGTCGTCGTCGTCGTCGTCGTCGTCGTCGTCGCCGTCGTCGTCGTCGTGGTCGTCGTCGTCGTCGTGGTCGTCGTCGGCATTTACGGAGCGGCCCTTAGCGTGTACTCAACGGCCCTGCCCTGATTCGACTCCTGCCTCGGGGCGACGAGGCCTGCACGCGCCCGCACTGCCCCGGGCCCGGCCCCCTCCGAAGGCCGGGGCGCCGTGCGTGCGCCGCCCTGGCCGAGCCAGGAGGGGGAGGCGGAGGAGGAGGAGGAGGGGGAGGGGGAGGAGGGGGAGGGGGAGGAGGAGGAGGGGGAGAAGGAGAAGAAGGAGGAGGAGGAGGAGGAGGTGGAGGAGGCGGCCCAGGGGCCCTGGCTGTGCACAGATCTCCCCGCCCTGTGCCTCGGCGGCGTTTCCCCCACGGCCCCGCTCGCCGGCGTGTTTTTTTTTTTTTTTGAGGGGGGGGCTTCCGGCGCTCCGCTCGCGGCCCCCCGCCGGTGGGTGCTCGCGCCCCGGGGGCCTCGGAGGGGGGGCTCGGCGCGGGCGCTGCCCAGGAGTGCCCCTGGCCCAAGTCGGGGGCGGAGAAGAGGGGGGTGATGACTAGGGGGGGGGGATATCGTGGCGTGGGCCATGATATTTCCTCAGATTTCATGGCACCTCTTCTTCTTTCATTACGTCCCTGGCCCCCCCGCTGGGCCGCGCACATGCCGCCGGTCATGATGTGCACCCCCCCTCTTGGACACCCCCCTCTTGGCCGCTCCCGACCAAGGTGCCCTCGGCATCTCCACGGGGGCCCCGAGGCCGCCAGAGAGCCCCTCCCGAACGACAGAGGCCTCTGGGGGCTCCAAGAGGGAGCGGTGCCCTCGGGATCTCCAAGGGGGCCCCGAGGCCGCCAGAGAGCCCCTCCCGAACGACAGAGGCCCCTGGGGGCTCCTAGACGGAGCGAAAAGCCGGGGGCACCTCGGGCAAGGGGGCACCCTCGGCGACCCCCGATCGGTGCGTGCGTCTCGGCCTCCTAGACGGGGTCCGAGCAGATGGGGTCGGAGGACTGCGCCGCATCGCCGATGCATTTGCCATGTGGCTCGGTGTGGAGCCCAAAGTTCTCCACGCCGGCGTCGCTGCTCCGCGGACCTGCCGTGCACCACGGCGTGGTTGGTCTCAGCTCGGGTATGTCCCCCTGCAGGCGAATTTTGGACGAACAAGAAGCAAGATTCAAAACATTACGGAATTGTCAAAAGTAGTTTTGAACAAAATCGTCCCCAGTTTTTTTTTCTCTTACAATTTTTGAATTTTCCTCCTGTAAGCGACACGCCTGTAGAGCGACACGCCCGACGTAATGTTGGTCTTGGAGTCGTCTGGGGGTCCGAGGTGGCCCAGGCGCCGGTTTCTGCGAGCAGGAGGACCCCCCCTCGAGGAGCGAGGATGCTCGAGGCTCGAGGCTCGAGGATCGAGGCTCGAGCGTGGAGGCTCGAGCCTCGAGGCTCGAGAAGGCAGGCTCGAGGCTCGAAGCTCTGGGCTCGAAGAGAGTGCTGTTTTTTTGTGCCGCTCGTCGGATATTCCGGGAGGGCCGTGCTCCTGGGACCGTCAAGAGCGCGCGCGTGCGGAAGCATTGCCCCCCCCGGGGTGGACCCAGGAGGGGTCCGGGGACCGACTCTGGGCTCGCCTCGTCCCCCCCTTTCTCGGGGCCCGGCGAGTGCAGGCCCCCTGGCCGCCTCGCAGAGTCGGCTGGTCGGCCCGGGAGCCGAGAGACGTTCGGGGAATGCGTTCGGTGCATCGACGCCCCCGCGTCCCACAGGTCGGGCAGCGGAGGCGCCCCTCATGCGGAGCTCATCGACATACAGAGCCAGACGTGGGACATCCTTTCCTGTGATTATTGGGTTCCATGCGTGCTTCCGTCTCCAACTCGAGTGTCTGGCAATGCTGCCTTGCATCTCGCTGTGAATCGAAGGTGGGCATCCTTGTAACTCTGCATTTCAAAATGTAGATTGTTATCAAACTCAATGATCCGGGCATGCTGATTTGAACTTTGCTGTGATTCGGAATATGGTCCAGGTCTGGAGTTTGATGTGTCGAATACGTCAACTTTGGGTTTCAAGGTATGATTCCATCTCACACTCGCTTATCAAGCAAGTCTGGCTTGAATAATTATTGGTGTTAATGTGTAACTTGGTTTCCAAATTAGTCATCATGCAATTCTGGTTTGATCTTATCTGTGTTTCGGGCTCGTTTTTGTTCTTCTTGTTCAACATATTGTCGAGTTCAACTGTTAGGCAGGTGCCCATGCAATTGTGCATGATTGCAAGCCCTTGCAATTTTAGTTAGAATTCCTCTCTATTTCAATATGCGTCTCTCAAGGGCGTCCGCTTGCGGGCTTACGTTACAAATGCTGCTCACGCCTCTTGCTGTAATTGCCTGCAGCGCTCGCTGCAGCAGGTCACTCTCAAATCGGATCGAGCGGTACTGTAGCGACGGAGATGCATGGCGCACCGCGTCGTGTGGTCGTCCAGGGAGCCAACGTGTTCTGCGCAGGGATTCCGTGCACAGAGATGCCCCTGCGTCCCACAGGCTGGGCAGCTGAGGCGTCTGTGCACCGCGCGCCCCGGCCGACCCGCGGACACGGCCCGCCTTCGGGGTCGGACGAGCGGCGGGCCCCTGGCCGACCACAGGACGCGGCCCGCCTCCCGTGTCGGACGCACGGTGGGTGGTCAGCCAGCCGTGCGCCTCAAAGCGGTGCGGCGGCAGAGCATCCGCAGGGCTCGCTTCGGCGCAGCGTGCGATTCGAAACAAGGAGTGTCTCCACAGAGGTTCAACCTTCGTGGGCCCTGTAAACGACGGGGCCGTTTTTTTACCGGTTCCGTTTTGCCGTCTTTTGGCTGGCTCCGACGCCGTTTTTTTACCGGTTCCGTCGCCGTTCTTTTACGGGTTTCCGCTCCGGTTCCCATCCTGGAGCCGTTTCTGTTGCCGTTTCCTGGCCGCCGTGTTTTTGCCGTTTCCATTTTCAAGGGTTTTTTTCGGAAACGGTGCAAAAACGGCCCTGCCGTTTCCGGGGCCCACGAACGGTTCAACCTATTTCCGCCTTGATCACCAGAGAGAACTTCGAGCACCAGGACAGCACCGACATTGGAGGGATGTCGCGTGTCGGGCCCCGGGAGGCGATACTCGTTCGACGCCGTTTTGATACTGTACTGGGTGCTCGAAAGTATTTCCGGGTTCAACCACACGTTTGCCGCGCCCAGCGTTCCTCTGGCGGCGGTGTGGGCAGGCATTGCAGGGGGCCGGCCGCGCTCCGCGGGGTGCGTGCACCCCTGCCCGCGTCCAGCAGCTGCCCCTCCCGCTTTTGGCACCGCTGGGGCGCGCGCGTACTTTCCGGGGGCGGAGAAGAGCGGGGTCATGACCTGGGGGGGTTAGCATGGCGGGGGCCATGATTTTTCCTCAGATCTCATGGCGCCCCTTCTTGTTTCATTACGTCCCTAGCCCCCCATTTGGGCCGCTCACATGCCGCCGGTCATGATTTGCACCCCCCCCTCTCTTGGACACCCCCCTCTTGGCCGCTGCCGAACTTTCCCGGTGAGTGAGGACCCCTCGAGGAGCATCCCTGCATCGTCTGTCACGAAAGAACAGAACGCGCACATGGCCGACGAGTGCCAGAAGTTGTGGGCGTCCAGGCGGTGGCAACGCCAGAGGTCCCGCCCCCCACTTCTGCTGCGGCGCCGCCCCCCCGCAGGACCCGGCAGGGCCTCGGAGGAGGCGCCCCTGGAGCAGGGCCTTGCTCAGAGCCCGCGGGGGCCCGCGCCGGCGCCGCCGGGCGCCGGGGTGGAGCCGGAGCCGCTGGGCGCAGCGGCCGCGGAGCGGGCGCCTCCAAATCAGTCGCGCGCGGTCGTCTGAGGATGGCGAAGGCCGCTCTCCTCCTCTTCCTCCTCCTCCTCCTCCTTCTCCTCCTCCTCCTCCTCCTGCTCTTGCTCTTGCTCCGGCTCCTGCTCCTGCTCCTGCTCCTGTCCAAGGTCAGCACAGGGGAACAAAAAGTCACACGAACAGAAAAACTCGGAGGTCCGCGAGGATTTCTCGGATCGGCGCTGGGGCCCCCTCCCTGGCGCGCGGAGCGCGCCAGGGGCGCGCCAGAAGTCCGCGAGGACCTCCGAGTTTTTATGTTTATGTCACTTTTTGTTCCCCCGACGACGACGACGACGACGACGACGACGACGACACTGCGCTCTAGCCGAAAGCTTCTCCCAGGGAGACGTGCCCCTCCGGGGGGGGTCGTTTGAGGGTTTCTCCACCCCCCCTTGTTTTTGCGTTGGTCGGACTTCAATTCTAGACGCTTCGCGTATCCCCACCAGCCGCTGGCGCTTCCCGCCGCTTCGCGACCTCCCGCTGCGAATTCTAGACGCTTCGCGACCTCCCGCCGCTGGCGCTTCCGCCTGCGGCTGTAAAACAAAAAAAGTATCCCCACCAGCCCGTCCAGAAACGACGCCCAGGCGAGTAGAGGGTCGTCCTGAGGGGCTTTTCGGCGTCTTGGGTGCCTCGGGGGGGCCTCTGTGGGCCGTTCGGGATCCTCTTTGGGGCCTCCTGGGGGCCTCTTGGGGCCTCTTGGGGCCATCTTGGGGCCTTTGGGGGCCTCCTGGGCGCTTCTTGGGGCCTCCTGGGCGCTTCTTGGGTGCCTCTGGGGGGTCTCTTGGGGCCTCTTGGGGGTCTCTTGGGGGCCTCCTGGGGGCCTCTTGGGGGGCCTCGGAGCCATCTTGGAGGAGATCGATCAACGAAGGGGGGTTCCCTAATTACAGTCCCCCCCTCAGGAGCCACGATCCTCGTGAGGGGTGTCGAATTTTAGCCCTCCCACGGGTCGATCTTGGACGCTCCAGCGCGCCGCGGAACCCCCTGTCCAGGTCAGTGGGGAGGGGGTAGGGGGAGGGGTAAACCCCTCCCCGAAGGGGAAGAAGGAGGGGTGGAAGAGGAAACGCTCTAAACCACCGACGCCCAGAGGGCTGGTGGGATTCACCAAGATTGCGTGCGTCAGTATGGTTAAACGCTGGCAGATCATAGAGACCGTTGTCGGCACAGTGGCCAACAAGCAACAATGCAGCGCAATCAAGTGCGCGAAGAAGCTTGACAAACAGGACAGGGAAAAGATGAGGTGCCAGCAAGGGCGAATAGCAATTGTGCAAGTGCACAGTGTTGGAGAGGCGGAAAAAAACAGTATGGACTCATCATCATTATCATCAAGCCATGAGCAGGACTCGGAACGGTAGTGGTCAAAAAACGCGTGCACGCGCCCTCCTCCACCACGATGATTCCCCTCTCCCTGGATCCAGCCCGAGAGGCAGTGTTTGTCCTGCAGGTAGGTTTCTGGCGTAATAGGCATTCGAAGAACAATTTGTCGACATTCATGTGTTGCAATATGTGCGATTACGGTGTTTCGATGCTTCGCTCCCGTCGTTCAGAAAGAATGGAGTGTTCGCCCAGGCGCGGGCCATGATTCTGGATCCGAGTCACTCCTTCAGTTTGTCGTTCGTCTCCTCTCCCTTGCTCTCCTCCTTCCCCTGGTCCTCTTGCTCCTCTCGTTCGTCATGCTTATCCTCTTCACGTGTTCCTCGTCCTCCTTCTTCGTGCTTCTCCTCATGCTTTTCCTCATCCTCCTGCCCATCCCCCCTGACCATGCGCTCCCCTGTCCAGATTTCGCCTACCCCGATAGAGCTCCTTCTGGGTGTTGCAGGTCCGCCATGACATCGACTGAAGGATTGAAGACACAACGCGATGGGAAGGGAAGCGGACAGGAGGGAGGGGTAGGATGTAAGATATGGTGCGAGCGCACCCAGCTTTCCCCCTTCCCCGCCTCTCCTCCGTCCTCCTCCTCCTCTTCCATCCATTTGCCTTACTGTAAACCTGCGCCGCACTTCGAGGGCAATCACAGGGGCAGGCCCGCCGCCCAAGACATAGCCTGCGACTGGCCCTCAAGGCCTCTGAAAGCGCCCCACGCGAGCTCCGAGACGGCCCCAGATGACACCGCGACAGCCCCAAGGCGCCCCAAGACGCCCCAAAGAGGCCCCCCCCCCCAAGAGAACCCCAGGAAGAATCGACCGTCCCACTCCGCTGAGACAGCGTATACCTTGAGCATCTTCGCCCCTTGGACTTTCACAGCGTCCACGACGGCCCACGAGGCTCCCAAAACTGCCCAGGGGGCCCCCAAGACAACTCCAGGAGCGCCCAAGAAGAGACCAATACGGCTCAGGAGGCCCCCAATATTGCCCAAGAGCCCCAGGACAGGCCCAAGAGGGGTCCCAGAGGGGGGAAACCATGTTCAAATTTCGAGTTTTGGCCCCACGAGGCTCCCAAGAGGCCCCAAACGGCTCCCAAGAGGCCCCGAAAGGCCCCAAAGGGGACCCCAAGAGCCGTCGAAGAGGCCCCAGGAGGCCCCCCAAGAAAAACCCAGGAGAACCCCCTGGCGGCCCCAGACGGGCCTCCGAGAGATTCTCCAAAGAAACAGTAGTTGCAAACGGAGCAGAGAGGAGGAAGAGCAGGACATGGGAAACAATGAAAAGGCGGAGAAGAAGGAGGAGGAGGGCAAGCAGGAGGAAGAGGAGGAGGACGAAGAAGAGTGACAATGGAGTAACGAGGAGGAGGGATTGAGGACGGATAGCAGGAACAGGATCACGGGGAGGGGGGGGATAAGAGGAGGAGGATGAGGAGGAGAAGGAGAAGGACGATGACGAGGGAGGGGGAGGGGGAGGAGGCCGAGGCGGATGGAAACACTGCAACACCCGACGCAGCGGGTTTCGCCATGCCGCCGATCAGACGAGCGGAAGCGAGAGCCGTAAAACGTGACGCAGCTGTGACCAGAACATCAGCGCGCGCGTGAAGCGCCAGCGCGCGTGGTTCTAGCACATCGGAGGTTGGGGGTGAGATCGAAGTGGAACGGAGAGCCCCCTGCAGGGAAATCGGTTTCGGTTTCGTGTTCGTGCATGCCGTGGGTGCGGGCGAGGCGAAGCTGCGTGGGCGGGCGAGAGGAAAGTCTCCTGTGTCTGAGGCGCGGCCGGACCAAATGATTCTCCCTCCGGCAAGCGGTGGCCCGCGGTGTCCCGCCGGTGTCCCGCTTGTGGCTGGGCCCGGGCCGGACCAAATGAGTCTCCCTCCGGCAAGCGGTGGCCCGCGGTGTCCCGCCGGTGTCCCGCTGGTGTCCCGGTGTCCCGCTGGTGCGAAAATGATAGTGAGACCGCTGACGAAATCGATTGTGAGATCGATAGTGAGATCGATAGTGAGACCGATAGATAGTGAGATCGATAGTGAGGCCGATCGTGAGATCGATCGTGAGATCGATCGATAGTGAGATGAATAGTGATATTGATTGTGAGATCCAGTGAGATCGATAGGGAGACCGTTGGTGGGATCGATAGCGAGATCCAGAGTGAGATCGACAGTGAAATCGATCGAGTGAGATCGATAGTGAGACCGATCGAGTGAGATCGATAGTAGGATCGATGGTCCCATGAACTAAAGAAATTATTATTTCGTTGGTTCCGGGGGGAGAATGATACCAAGGTGATCGAGAGCGAAGGAGACCAGTGCACAACGCTGGGGCGCGTGATTGCGAGGCCGACTGCAAAGAAACAAGTGGGAAAGTATACTTATGACAGTTCACGTCTGCACTGCTTTCGTGCCGTTTCGTCGCCACTCTACTTGTCTTCTACTTGGCCGCTCTCCTTGCATGCGGGAGGCGGGCGAGCTGGAACAACACATGATTGACATCCTCATGTTGGTTGAAGCGGCCGCGGGTTTTGGCCTGCAGTTTGCCGCACGTTGTGCTTCCTCCTCGCGGCCTGCGGGTCGATGATTTACCTTGCTCTGATGCATGGACAAATAAAATACACTGTCGTGCCGTATCGTAAAACTGATTATGATGAGCTGATTTTCCACCACCGCTACTATGGGTAGGAGGGGGGGAAGGAGGAGGAGGAGGAGGAGGAGGAGGAGGAGGAAGAGAAGGAATTCTCCGCCGTCCTACCTATGGTAGGCCGCGGTCCATCCTTCCCAAGGGTACCCTTGCATCCTTGCCTCCTCGGTCCATCCTTGGCCACCCGCATCAGAAGGATGGGCATCCTTCCCAGGGGTACCCTTGCATCTTTGTCTCCCCGGTCCATCCTTGGTCACCTTCGTGGTCCGCGCCCCGCTCGAAAAGCTTCGAGATGGCCTTCCAACGCCCTGGCATCCTCTCCGCGCGTCGATGTGATACGGGTTGGCCGTATCGTAAACCTGCTTACAGTCGGGGCCCTGAAGAAGGAACCCTTTTTGTTGGGGAGGGGCTCCGTGTTCCTTGGTTGCTTTACAGTGCTCCTTGGGTTTGCCGGAGGTTTCATGGAACATCGGAGTTTAATTTATGGGAAAAAGATGCCCCGTTCCTTATTCTTCGTTCCTTGGGTCATCGCCCCGACTGTATCATCACAGGAGGAGCCCGAGCCCGCGCCGGCACCGCCGAGCGCCGCGGCGGAGCCCGTGCTGTCGAGCGCGGCGGCCGCGGGGCACGGCGCGCCGCCGCCCACGCACCCCGTCTCGGACGGCCCGGCGGCCGGCGGGTGCCGCGGCGCGGCGGGCGGCGGGAGCGGCTGTGGGTGGTTCCAAGCTGGGGCCCTGAGGAGGGGTAAAACGACGCGAAGATCGGGACAAGATCGGATCGGGATAACTCGAAATCTCTGAGAAGCGGCGGGTTTGGAGGATGTATTGGGCGCCGCGGCCGCTCCAGAGCGTTCCGGAACGCTCTGAGAGCGCTCCGGAACGCTCTGGAGCGATTTATCCCGATCCTAGCCCTGTTTTACCTGAGGAGGGGGGGTCCTGGGGACGAGGCGCCCGAGGCAACGCGCATGCACCCTCGGGACCCCTTCCCTCGACCTGCCCTCAGGACCCCATCCCCTCGACCCCATCCCTCCCCCTCCCCATCCCCTCGACCCCTGGCATCGCTCGGACGTGTGCGTTTTTTCCTCGGCGAGGGCCGTCGAGGAGCATCCTTGATCATTTGGCGCAAAAGCCACGCACGAAACCGAACAAAAACACAGGAAACGGACGTCCGAGCGATGGCCAGATCCCAATCCCTCCCCATCCCCATCCCCTCGACCCCATCCCTCTCCATCCCCCTCCCTCGACCTGCCCCCCGGACCCCATCCTCGACCCCATCCCTCCCCACCCCCATCCCCTCGACCCCATCCCTCCCCATCCCCATCCCCTCGACCCCATCCCTCCCCATCCCCATCCCCCCGCGGGGGTGCCTGCCGATCCCGACGTATCCCGTCCCTCGGGGCCCCCTCTTCGCGCTGCCCCGAGGCGGGGCGCCGGCCGCGCCGGCGGCGGCGCCGTGCCCGGCTGCCCAGGCGGGGGCGGGCGAGAGGGGCAGGGGGGGGAGAGGTTCCCATACAGTCGGGGCCTTGACCTAAGGAACCCTAAATAAGGAACGAGGCCCCTTTTTACCATAAGTTGAACTTCGATGTCCGATCGAAAACATAAGGAAAACCTGAGGCAAGCTGCGAAACGCTTAAGGTACGCGGAGCCCCCCCCCAACGAAAAGGGTTCCTTCTTCAGGGCTTCAACTGTACCGCTGCCCCTCCCTCGTGATTCTCCTCTGTGGGCCTCCTGGTAGGCCCTCGTCGCCACCGTCGGATTAGCCTCGCAAGTCTGGTCAGACTTCACCCTGGGAGAGGTTCGGGGAGTAGCGGTATGGGTCCCCCAGAAGGGTTGGGGCCTGGATCTGTTACATGAGAGGGTGTTTCCAGGCTTCCCTGATGAGGTCGGAGTTACGAGGGGGTCGGAGGATCGCGCCGCATCGGCGATGCATCGGCGATGCGGCTTGGTGTGGAGCCTGCTTTTTCTCCACGCCGACTTCGACGATGCATCGCCGACTTCGCCGATGCATCGGCGATGCATCGGCGACGCGTGTACAAGACCCCATGTGGGAGGCCTCTAATGAGAGGGTATTTCGAGTAGGAAGAGGAGTGGATCCATGGCACGCTGCCGTCTGGGGCACGTCAGCGCAGCATTTCTGTATTTTGACCGTCGACTTGGTGTCTCAACTGCAGTGACACGATCAAGGGTTCCCACGGAGGCGCGTCATTGATATATTTCGTTCGCCTGCCCAGTGTTGATAGAGTCCCGCACGTGAGCAGCAGCATGCAGGTAGCAAATGCATCGTGCGACCGCGGCCCTTCTCCTCAAGCTCTTTGACGAGGGGCCTGGTGCCGCGAAAGCTTGGGCATTTGGAAGAACGTTGGTCGTCACAACGCTCGGTTTGACTCGTCCCGCAATGGTTCGGTGTTCGAATGCAACGTGCTGAACAGACCTGGATGGCACACATCGAACAGGGGATCGACAGCAGGGTTGACTTATCCCATAAATGATTGTATTGTCGAGGCGCACGAAACGTGTGAGGATTGCGCCGACATTGAGGTAGAACCCTGTCCTGGTGGCCTCCGGTGGAGCCCTCCATGAGGCCACGATGTGAATGAGGGATGCGCCGACATCGGGGTGGAACCGCATGCGAACTTTGTTACTGCGGCCTTCGGTGGAGCTCCCTACATGGGCACGACATGTGGGAAAGGCGGCACTGTATGCGGATCCTGGCATTGGGGCCTTCGGTGGAGCTCCCGATGGGGACACGAAAAGTGTGGGATATGTGCCGAAGTGTGAGAGGAATCGCATATAAACGAAGCCACTGGGGTCTTCGGTGGAGCTCTCTAGGTGGGGCACGAAACGTGTGAAGGTTGTGCCGAAAATGGAAGGTGGGATCGCATGCGAACGCAACCACTGGGACCGTCAGTGGAGATCCCCCATGGAGCAACGGACCGTGTGAGGGGTGTGCCGAATTTTGGTGCGGAATTGCATGCGAGCACAGCCAGTTGAGCCTTCGGTGGAGCTGCTGTTGGAGCCACGAAGCGTGTGAGGGGTGTGCCGAATTGGGCGTGGAATTGCATGCCAACGCAGCCACTGGGGCCTTAGGTGAAGCTCCCTCTGGGGGCACGGAACCTGTGAGTGGTTTGCCGACATGGACATGCGGAGGGCGGAGGCAGGGGTGGGAGAGGGTGGAGGGGAGGAGAGGAGGAGAACGGGTTTGGGGCATTGTCTCTTCATAACGAGGACCCGACACATGAGATATGGGAATTGCTGATCAATTCCGAGATTTCTAGGGTTTGTGCGCTCGTGCATTTCTCCATCACCCTCAGCGCCATCGCATCACGGCCAACGATATTGTCATCTACAAGTGCCGCCATTGTTGCCATTCTCATCGCCCCCGTCACCTACGTCGACGCCGGCGCTGGCCTTGCTGTCGTCACCGTCACCATCGCCAGCACCATCGCTGTTCTCATCATGGTTACCGCCGTCGTCTGGGTGATCGTGATGCCGTGCCCACGTGCACGCGTTGATGTCCCTGTAAGACCAGTGTTTCCGTATGCCTGTCTAGATATCGATCTTCAGACACATAAGAACGACCAATTGACAAGCGTGTTGAATTTCTATGCACGCGCACTTCCTTATCACCCTCGTCAGCGCAATTTGCATCACCGCTGATATCATCGTCGTCAATCGCCGTCATTGCCGCCATCATCGCCAAAACCATCTTCATCACCAGAACATGGGCATCATCATCGTCGCCGTCGTCACCAGCATCGTCGCCGTCATTGACCTTGTCGTCGTCGTCATTATCGCCACCACCATCGCTATTATCATTATTGTTGCTGCCGTTGTCTACATTGTTATGTTGTCGCGCCCGCCCGAGTCACCGAGTCACCGATCCGTACTGAAATGCTCTCGCCCCAGCGTGGCTTTCGAAGCGTGTCAGCCGCACCACTTGTGCTGTTCTGGCCGCATCAGTTGTGCCAGGTCAGCTGGCCGATCTGCGCGTAAACGCGCCTGCACCTAAGCGACCGTGCAGACGCGCTAGCAAATTCCAATCGGGCACCGCACGTGTTATGGTTTGAACCTCGCAGGGTGCACCACATTCATTATTCAGTCCTGCCGCGTCATACACGTACATATAGGTACATATTCATATATATATATATATGTATGTATGGAGAGAGAGGGAGAGGGCACTGTGCAGTTTGCCGCTCATATGCTACGGGTTATACATATACATATATATATATATATATATATGTACACACTGCGCCACATCATCTGCACCACAATTCTTGCTGCACATGGACCACGCAGCTGGTACCCATAAATCAGAGTGAAGGGGCCGAACGGTCATTCATTGTCCCTGGGTTCGTGGCTCTAGTGGGGATCTGGGGTGAGGATTCTGCTTGTTGCGTTGTTGTTGTTGCTTGTTGTCGTCGTCCACCCTGCGACCCACCCCGCGACCCCGCTCCGACCCACCCCGCGACCCACCCCGCGACCCACCCCGTGGCCCACCCCGCGACCCACCCGCGACCCACCCGCGACCCACCCCGTGACCCGCTCGCGACCCAACCGCGACCCACCCTACGACCCACCCCGCGACCCACCCCGCGACCCACCCCGTGGCCCACCCCGCGACCCACCCGCGACCCACCCGCGACCCACCCTGTGACCCGCTCGCGACCCAACCGCGACCCACCCTACGACCCACCCCGCGACCCACCCCAGCGACCCACCCGCGACCCACCCTCGACACTCCCCGCGACCCAGCCCGACCCAGCCCGCGACCCACCCACCCCCCGCGACCCACCCCGCGACCCACCCGCGACCCACCCCGACCCCCCCGCGACCCACCCGAGACCCATCCCGCGACCCACTCGCGACCCAACCGCGACACATGCGCGACCCACGCGCGACCCACCTGCGACCCGGCCCGAGACCCACCCGCGAGCCACCCCGCGACCGACCCCGCGATCCACCCACAATACTTTAAAGAAAACATCGGCGCCTTCGGCGGGCTCAATGCATACATTGCAAAAGTTAGGCGCCTGCGGCGGGCTTCTCCAGAGCCTCGCAGACTGAGAACGTCCTCGCATCCCCCGCACTCTTATCCGAAGTTTCGGGGTGTCACGTCACATGTCCAGGGTGCAACAGCGCACTGATTTCGCTTCTGCTGGCAGCGATGCTATGCATAATACTGGACAGCACCAGCGACATGCATTCACCCATGGTTGTGTTACTGATTACTGCCTATGGTCGTTCCTATGCCTGTTGGCGCCTCTTCTATGTAACCTCTTGAGGCCTTCGTGCATTGTGTTGTTGTGTTATTCGGAACTGGCGGGGGTAGGCATGCGTCCGCGCCATGTAACGGGAGCTGCGCCATGGGTGCGGTAAGGTGCGGCGAGTGCGGTGGGGCAAAAGGGCGCGCCTTTTTTGGGGCGTAGGTGGGGTTTCCCATGTGGAGGCACGGCACATGCAGGGAGTGTGGCAAAATGGGCGGGGTGCAGTTTGCTGGCACTGGCTGGGGCTTCCCTTGGAGGGCACATCGCGTGATATGGGTTTCCAGAGAGTGGCGGAGTGCGGGATGCGGGCGCGCCCATGGGGGCCCTGGGTTACGCCCCCTTGAGAGGCACGAGCCACGTGGCTTGTGGTGGGTGATCGGAATGGGGGCGCTCCCATTCTTGGCATCCAGGGAATGGACGTCCAAGCGATGGCGAGCATTGGGGCTTTAGGCCGAGCTCCTTGTGAGGGCGCTGGACCGGTGAAGGGCGTGCCGACATGTTCGTGCGGACGGGCCGCAGAGGCAGGGAGAAGAGGTGGGAGAGGGGTACAGTCGGGGCCCTGAAGAAGGAACCCTTTTCGTTGGGGAGGGGCTCGGTGTTCCTTGATTGTTCTGATGTTTGCCTTCTGTTTTCCTTCGGTGTCGATCGGACATCGAAGTTTAACTTATGGAAATGAGGGGCCTCGTTCCTTATTTAGGGTTCCTTAGGTCAACGCCCCGACTGTAGTGCAAGAATGTGAGGTGGGACGCGCGGCGCTGCGTATTCGATCGAGAACCCAGCACAGGAGGGTTGGTGCAAACCTTGTCTGCCAAGCGGCCTCACCCTCTGGCCCACACCCGTCAGCCAGATATCCTCAACCCAGGCCCAAACGTTCGACCATGCACTGGCATTCCCTCTCAAAAAGTTGCCAGCCAGATATCCTCACCCCTTGGCCAAGAATTGCCAGCCAGGTATCCTCGTCCGATGGCCCGACCATGCCAGCCAGAAATTACTTTTCCCCTGTCCCAATCTTGCCACCCGAGTATATTCAACCCCTAGCCCAATCCCGACAGCAAGATATCCTTCTTCCCTGGGCCAAACTTGTCCGCCACATCTCCCCACCCCCTGGCCCAAACCTGACAGCAAGGTATCCATTTTCCCTGGCTCTAACTTGTTAGCCAGATCTCCCCCCCGTGGCCCAAATCTGACAGCTAGATAATCCTCCCCCCTTGGCCACAAAGTGCCACCCAGATGTCTTCACCCACTGGACCCAAACTGCTAGCCAGATAATCCCTACCACTGGCGGACAAGACTGCCACCGAAGTCCAGTCGTTGAGTGAGTCTTTCAGTATAAGATTTGCGGTCCAGTTGGTCAGTTGTCATGTGACATTTGTCAGTCGGTTCTTGCTGAAAATTGTGGAGACAAGTGCGGACTGCGCCCGCAAAGTGGACGCGGAGGTGTTGTGGAAGTAGAACGTCGGAGGGATTGGGAGAGCGGTCTAGCGATTTCTTGTAATTGCGCCTGTCGGTTGACATCGCTGTTGACCTTGGAAAGAGCGCGTTCTGTGGTTGCTTGGAGGGGGTGGGGGGGGGTGGAGATAGACCCCCGACCCCCCCCCTCCCGTGACGGAGGGAGGGGGGGTTCGAACCCTCCCCCCCCCCTTCGCGGCGGCGGCTGGCGGCGGCAGCGGCTGGCGGCGGCGGCGCGGACGGCGATTTCCTGTTCTGGGCTGGCGCCGGCGCCTGCGGCGGCGGGCGGCGGCGGCGGGGAGCGTCGACGAGGACGACGGTGGTGGTGGTGGTGGTGGTGGTGGTGGTGGTGGTGGTGGTGGTGGTGGGTTCTGGTGATGGTGGCGGCGGCGGCGGTGGTGGTGGTGGTGTGGTGGTTTGTTGTGATGGTGGTGGTTGTGGTGGTGGGTGGTGGTGGTGGTGGTGTTGGTGGTTTGGTGGTGGTGTGGTGGTGGTTTGTCGTGGTGGTGGTGGCGGTGGTGGGTCGTGGTGGTGGTGGTGGTTTGGTGGTGGTGTGGTAGTGATTTGTGGTGGTGGTGGCGGTGGTTTGTGGAGGTGGTGCTGGTTGCGGTGGTGGTGGCGGTGGTGGTGGTGGTGTGGTGGTCTGTAGTGGTGGTGGTGGTGGGTTGTGCTGCTGGTGGTGGTGGTTGTGGCGGTGGTGGTGGTGGCGTGGTAGATTGTGGTGGTGGTGGTAGTGGTGGGTTTTTGTGGTGGTGATGGTGATGGTGAGTTGTGGTGGTGGTGGCGGTTATCGTGTTGGTGGTGGCTGTGGTGGTGGTGGTTTGTGTAGTGGGTTGGTGGTGGTGGTGGTGGGTTGAGGCCGTGGTGGTGGTTGGTAGTGGAGGTGGTGGTGGTGGTGGTGGTAATCGTCACTGCGTCCCCGCCGTCGCCGGCGCCAGGGGGGGGGGTTGAACCCTCCCCCGTCCTTGGGCTGCCTCTGGTCATCGTCGCTGCGTCCCCGCCGTCGGTGCTGCTGGCGGCCGCCAACGCCGGCGCCGGCGCCAAGGGGGGGGGGGCTTGAACCCCCCCCCCTTGGGAAGGGGGGGGAGGTTCGGGAGGGGGGGGGTTTGGGGGGGAGGAGAGTCCCCATGGTTTTGATCGACGGCGTCGAGTTTTTTGGGGGGGGCACCCCCCCAGTTCGAAACGCGCCACCGACAGTTCCCAAGGGAAGCTCACGTGAAACGCGCTCTCTCTGACCTCGCCTCCTCCTGTCTATCCCGCACAGTGGCCACCGATCATTGGCGGTCGCTCTTGGGTGCCGGGGGACGCGGGGCACCAAAGGACTTGCCGATGGGCACCGACGAGGAGCACGCGGCAGCGGCCAAGATCCAGGACTGTGGGATGTCGGGGTGTTGCGGATGGGCGGAATGCTGCAACAATTTGCGAACCTTGTCCCTGCGCGTCCACTCGGCTTCTGGATATCGGACACCCGTGTTGGGCTTCACTTTGCTGCAGGCACTTTTCAATTCTGACTCCCAGCCGTTTTTTTGGGGGGGAGTCTGATTGCAGGGGTAGGGTGCGCAAGTGGCTGCCTGGGAGGAGCGGCGCCGCATGGTCCTCGGCGCGGCCCCGATGGCAGCGTTGCCTCCAGAAGACGCTCCCTGCCGAGAGTTAAAATTCCGCTGGCGGTTTCGGAGCATGTCTGCTCCCATGAGGAACCATTCCCAGTAGTCGCAGCTCCGATCGACAACAGCACGCAAACAGCGCCGCGAATAGTTGGACATGGCAGGCGACGACATGTCTCTCTATCGTTGCCAGTCCGCTGCGTGAGTCATGAATTGCATAGTACCGAATCGCAGGGGACGGCATGAGAGAGATCGGGCACGCTATGCTAGATGCCGTTTTGGGCAGCGTCTCCCCACCTGGTCGACCCCTGCGAGTACTGCCCCAGTCTCCATTTCGCTCCGATTTTCGACTCCGCCATTGTTGTTCTTGGCAACGCGCGTTGCCGCCAAGCGTCCATACAAGATCGAGTCTACTCTGCCCGCCTCCCTCGGATCGCGTGATTTCCCCACCCCTTCCGGCAAAGGTTGACCTGTGTGCCAGTCTTCGTTTTGGACCGTTCGGCAGGGACTTTGGGCGGGCGGTGGATGTCTGCAGCTCGGCCAGAGCATCGATGATGCGTGGGGGGGAGGTGTTAGGAGCAGGCGCTGCCACTGTCGTGGAGGAAAAGAGGGAGGAGTAAGAAGGGGACGTGCGCGAGAAGGAGGAGGACTGATGTCGAAGAACACAAAAACGCTATCAACACAAACTTTTGACGCTCCACGCGGACTTTCTGGATCGGCCCCGACGACGCTTCCGGCGCCGCCCCTGGCGCGCTCCACGCGCCAGGGAGGGGGGGGGCCCAGCGCGGATCCAAGAGGTGCGCGCGGAGCGCCACAAGTTAATGTCTATAGCGTTTATGTTTCTCCTTCTTCTTCTTCTTATTATTATTATTATTCTACTCCTTCCTCTTCTAGGGTGTGAAGGGGAGCTGCGCGAGAAGGAGGAGGACCTCTGCTGCAGGCCGCTGGCACCGCTCGAGCGCAGAGGGAGGAGGGAAGCGCCGGGGCGGATGGCAGCGGCGGGATGGTAGGAGACCGATTTCTGACAACACCCATTTCCCGAGGTGCCTTGCGAACAGCGGTCTCCAGAGGTGGAGGTGGGCAGTTTCCCCGCCCCAGGGGAAGGAAAAACTACCCACTTCCACCCCCGAGGGCCTATCGTAGAATCGAGGATCCAAAGGTGGGTGTGGTCAGAAATCGGTCTTCGAGATGGGGAGGGGGCATCTCGCAACGCCTCACGCCCTCTGGAGCGCCCGCGGCCTGCCTGAAGGGAGGGGCGGGGATGACGTTGAGTCGGGCCTGTCCCTCTGCAGGAAGAGTGGCCAAGAAGTAGCAGAACATCGTCTGGGGGCTTTCCTTTTCGATGAGTCTCGTCTGACCAGTTTCGAGCACTGGGTGGACTACTTTCAAGATTTCTCGTCCGAGGTCCCGCCTGCAGGAGGACACGCTCGACCCAAGGATCACATCGAGGAGCGCTGCCCGGAGACGCCCTGCCCGCCTCCTCGGCGCAGGCCGTGCACCGCGGCAAGGTCGCGCGCCGCTCGGTGGGCGACCAGCGCGAGGCGGCGTCGAAGGCGGCCCGCCCCACCGCCGCCGTTCTCCCTCGCCATCTCCCCGTAGGATGTTCCGGCCTACGCCAGCCCTGATCACCAGAAAGAACTGCGAGCACCAAGGAAGTACCGAAACTTGGGGGTTTTCCCGTGTCGGGCCCTGGAAGGCGATACTTGTTCGACACTGCTTCGGTGCTTTTCTGGGCGCTCGAAATTGTTTCTGGGATGTTGTCCTTAAGTTCTAGGCCTCCTAGATGGGGTCGGAGCAGAAAGGGTCGGAGGATCGCGCCGCATCGCCGATGTATCGACGACGCAGTTCGGTGTGGAACCCGATTTTCTTTACTCCAACGTCGCGGATGCGTCGCCGATGTCGCGGGTGCCTCGCCGGTGCCTCGCCGGTGCATCGCCGATGCATCGCCGATGCATCGCCACGCTTTTCACGGTCCGCAGCGCTTCTTGAAGTCCGCCGAGGTCTCTCGCCACGTCGCCGCCCGTGCTTGCCTCGCTGCCGCCCGGGGGCCCTCCGAGGTCTCGCCGCGTTGCCGCCCTTGGCCGCCTCGTTGCCGTCGGGGGATCCGCCGAGGTTGCGCCACGTCGCCGCCGGTTGCCACTCTGAAGTCGGGCCTGTCCCTCTACAGGAGGAACATACGAAAATAGTCAGAACAACAGTCTCGGGACGCTTTGTATTATGATTTTGGGTCTATCTATGGGCGTACGTTGAGTAGGTGTTTCATTTTCCTCCAGAATCCGCCGGTAGGGGGACACGCCCGACTCAATGCCACTCACGGCTCTCGTGGGGTCCGCCAAGGATTGTTTGCCGCTTCCCGCCTTTGTTTGCCTAAGTGCACCACGTGGACGGCGCCGCATAGTCTGCACACCCCGCTGCTCACACCTCATACACCACGCTACGTTCCTTACACATCCAGTGCAATTACTTGCTTTCACGGGTCTACGCTGGCTAACACAGCTTGGTGTGTATATACATATATATATTTGTGTGTATATGTACATGTATATGTGTATGTATGCATGCATGTCTGTCTGTCTGTCTGTCTGTCTGTCTGTCTGTCTGTCTGTCTGTCTGTATGCATGCATGCATGCATGCATGCATGCATGTATGTATGTATGTATGTATGTATGTATGTACGTGTGTCTGTGTGTCTGTGTGTATGTGTGTATGTGTGTATGTGTGTCTGTGTGTCTGTGTGTATGAATGTATGTATGTATGCACGTATGTATGTGTGTATGTATATATATATATATATATGCATGCATGCATGTATGTATGTATGCCTGTCTGTGTGTATGTATGTATGTATGTGTGTATGTATGTATGTATGTGTGTATGTATGTATGTATGTATGTATGTATGTATGTATGTATGTATGTATGTATGTATGTATGTATGTATGTAAGTGTGTGTATGTATGTATGTATGTATGTATGTATGTATGTATGTATGTATGTATGTATGTGTGTGTGTGTATGTATGTATGTATGTACGTACGTATGTATGTATGTATGTATGTATGTGTGTATGTATGTATGTATGTGCATGTATGTATGTATGTATGTGTGTATGTATGTATGTATGTATGTATATATGCATGCATGTATGTATGTATGTATGTATCTATCTATGTATGTATGTATGTATGTATGTATGTATGTATGTATGTATGTATGTATGTATGTAGGTAGGTGTGTACGTATATATGTATGTATGTATTTATGTTTGTATGTACATATGTATATATGTATATACAGATATTGTCCTGGTAAAAGGTGTTCAAGATGCTTTCGATGAGTTCTTTCAACTGACCAGCGCCGCGCGGAAGTGCGTACAGCATGATAGACCGATCCTCTTCGGTGTAAGCTTGATTCTGCAGGGTCCTGGCAAGCAGGGCCCAGGACTCCTTTGGGCCCTACGATTCTTGGTGATTCATGGGCTTACGCCGCACCCTCGATCCATTGGGTTGCGTCGGCTCCTTGCGGTGTCTTCGGGGCTTCTTGGGGCCTCTTGTTGGTCTCTGAGAGGTGTGCTGGCGGCCATGGGGGTCTCTTCGGGGTGGAGGGTCCGTCATGTCGGTTCGAGTTCATTTTCTTGGCGCCATGAAGCCAAAGAAGAATGCGACCGCCGCATCGTCACCCCAGGGGAAACAGGTGGAACCCCGAAGCGCGAATAGCATGCGTATCTGCACGCGTTGGCGCAACGCTTTTGGAGGCCTCTTGGGCGCTTCTTGGGGGGCATGTTGGGGCCACTTGGAGGCCTCGGGGCCTCCCGTGGGCGGCTGGAGCCGTCTTCGGGCGTTCTCGGGCCGTCCGGCGCCTTCGAAGTCGCCTAGACTGACATACTAACTTACTCGTACTCAGACCTATTCATACTCAGACCTATTCATATTCAGACTTACGCATGCTGGGACTCATTCATACCTAGACTTACTCATACTCAGGCCTTCTTATTATCTGATTTATTCTACAGCAGATTGTGAGAATGTCTCAGGCGGGGCGCTTGTTTCAGCACCCCTAAGGGGAGCCGCCGAAGGGTATGACATAGTCCCGTTCGCGGCCGTTTCGTCGGGATGTCTCAAGCGGTTAGCTGGTTCTCTCTCAAGATCCTTCGTTTGGAGAGCAGATTGAGAGGATGTCTCAGGCGGGGCGCTGGTTTCAGCGCCCCTAAGGGGAGCCGCCAAAGGGGTTTGGCACGGTCCCGTTCGCTGCCGTTTTGTCGGGATGTCTCGAGCGGTTTGCCTGTTTTGTGTTTCAACACCCTTCGCTTGGAGAGCAGATTGTGAGGATGCCTCAAGCGTGGCGCTGGTTTCACCACCCCCACAGGGAGCCGCCGAGGGGTATGGCACGGTCGCGTTCGCGGCCGTTTTGTGGGGATGTTTTTTGGCGGTTTGCCTGTTTTCTGTCTCAACATCTTTCGCTTGGAGAGCAGATTGTGAGGATGCCTCAGGCGGGGCGCTGGCTTCAGCTACCTAAGGGGGACCGCCGAGGGATATGGCACGGTCCCGTTCGCGGCCGTTTTGTGGGGATGTCTTGAGCGGTTTGAATGTTTTCTGTCTCAACATCCTTCGCTTGGAGAGCAGATTGTGAGGATGTCTCAGGCGGGGCGCTTGCTTCAGCACCCTAAAAGGGAGCCGCAGAGGGGTATGGCACGGTCCCGTTCGCGGCCGTATTGTGTGGATATCTCGAGCGGTTTGCTTGTTTTCTGTCTCAACATCCTTCGCTTGGAGAGCAGATTGTGAGGATGTCTCAGGCGGGGTGTTGGTTTCAGCTACCTGATGGGAGCCGCCAGGGGTGCTTTCACGGCTCCGTTCGTCGCCGTTTTGTGGGGATGCCTCAAGCGATTTGCTTGTTTTTTTGCTTTTGCGTTGGCTCCCGAGTGGCGCTCCTTGTTGTGTACGGCGGCCAGGGAGGAGTGACCAGGTGTTGTTGGCGCGGAACTTGTGTCACCATAGACATATGTTCACCATCGCACTACCCTGCAATATGAGATGCACATGTGGCTCACATGGCTAGACACTCATTTAAAGATCCCCAATACAATATTATTTCCATTGAAAAAGATGCACATATGGGGAGCTCCACGCAAGGAGTATTATTCGTTGCGGGTTATTTGGAACCCTTTGTCTTTCTGGGGTCTCCACAGCCCAGCCTCCCCGGGGGCGTCTTCGCAGCCGGTTGATGCCTCGTTGGGGTTCCTCGGGGGCCCAGTGCGCTGTCGGAGGGCACATCGGGGAGAGGTCCCGATGTTCATCCGAGCTCTCCCTGTTGGGCCTTTGCTGTGTCCCTGCATGGGGGGTCACGGGTCGTCTTCATTTTTTTTTGTTTGTAGAAAAACAGACGAACGGATGAACAGACATGGACGCACATCGGCGGTGAGCGAGGGGGGGAAGTGAGAATGAGAAGGCCTTCTCAGAAAGCGGCGGGGCTTCTCGGGAACGCACCGGCCTTCTGATCAGTTGTTTGCGTTTCTGGGGAAGGCTCAGGATATTGCTCGCAAGGCTGGGGGGCCTCGGAGTCTTCTGAGAAGGCCCGCCCCCTCTCGCTTCCCCCCCCCAGGCTCGCCGCCGTTGGCTTGGGGGCCTCTCGGGCCGCCTTTGTGGAGCGTCGGGAGCTCGACGAGTCGGGGCCCCCTGGCCTCTTCGGGAGCCTCTTGGGCAGGCTCTCGGGGGCTCCTCTCGGGGCGCCTCGTCGAGGGCTTCCTGGGCCGCCCCGGGGCCGCCCTTGGGCGCCTGGAGCCGAGCGTTGCGACGGTTCGGGGCCCTCCTGCACCGTCCGGGCGGCCACTTGGGCCCCCCCTTCCCCCGGGCGGACCGCCCGGCACGGGGGTCGGGGGCACCGGGGCGGGGGCCCACACAAGCGCGCAAGTCGGGCCCGTCCCTCTTTAAGGGGGGGGGATATTCAGAACTAGTCCCAAAATAGTCTGGGTACTATTTTTTAAGTATTTTTTGTTGGGGCATCTTTGGAGTGTTTGTGGGGTATTTTTTCCTTCTCGTACAAAATCCCCACGCCCGGCTTAACGCAAGCGACGGGCAGCCAGAGCGCCGGAGATCTTGCGGGCTCTTGCGGGGCCGGGGGTGCTCTCGCCCGAGCGCGGGTGCAGGATCCCGGGGCTGGACCTCCACGCCGTGTTCCTGGCCCTCGGCTGTGCTTTTTTCCCCAAGCAGCGCTTGCACTGAAGGGGGCCCTCAGCGGACATGGAAAGATCTGGCGGAAGTTTCCCGCCGATTTTGGTAGCCGGCTGGGTTCCCACGTTCTTGGCTCCCGGTTCCGAGGCTCCTGGTTATCAGTTCTGGGCCGATTTCGGCGGGTTCCGGGTTCCCGGGTTCCCGGTCGATTTTCTGATCGATCTCTTTCTCGATCCCACGGTCCATTATCGATCTCATGATCGATCTCACTATTTCATCTCACCCAATCGATCTCACCATTGATCTCATCAAACCATCCAATGTGTTTCCCTCTGGTGTAATGTTTATTCGTTTTGGGAGTGAGATACCGGAAAACAGGTAGAGCCACACGAACACCACAACCAAACCAGCACCAACAACAACGTGTAGGTCCAGCCCTGCTGGATCCTGCAGTCCTGTAATGCCCGACTGACCCGGGTTTGCACGGACCCGGGCCAGTCGATGCCCGAGAGGACCACGGATGAGGCGGACTCGGCGATCACATAAGCTCAAGGTCTGAGTCCGCTGCACTGCTGGAGGGCGTGCGGTTCCTCCGAAACTGGGCGGAATGGAGGGGAGAAGGAGGAGGAGGAGGAGGAGGAGGAGGAGGCTGAGGAGGAGGAGGAGGAGGAGGAGGAGAGGAAGGAGGGAGGAGGAGGAGCAGGCGGAGGAGGAGGGGAGGAGGAGAGGAGGAGAGAAGAGAAGGAGGAGAGAGGAGGAGGAGGGGAGAGGAGGAGAGGGAGGAGGAGGCGGAGGCGGAGGAGGAGGGAGGATCAGGAGGAGGAGGAGGAGCAGGAGGAGGAGGAGGAGGAGGAGGCGGAGAAGGAGGATGAGGAGGAGCAGGCGGAGGAGGAGGATGAGGCGGAGGAGGAGGAGGAGGAGGAGGCGGAGGAGGAGGAGGACGAGAAGAAGGAGGAGGAGGAGGAGGAGGTGGAGGAGGAGGAGGGGGGGATGAGGCGGAGGAGGATGAGGAGGCGGAGGAGGAGGAGGAAGAGGTGGGAATGGGGGTGGGGGAGGGGAGGGGGAGAGGGGGAGGGGGAGGGGTCGGGAGAGTGGGGGCTGGAAGGGGGAGGAAGGGCATGCATGCAGCGCGCCCTCGGAAGGTCTCTTGGCGTAACATACGCCGCGTGAGGCGTCTCCCTCTCGAGCTGGCTGGCTCTGTGCTGAGGGCCCAGCCGAGTTGGAACCCTTGGGCACGGAGCCCTCATCCTGCAGATTTGGCCTCGCCAGGACGTGTGCATTTTGTTCGGCGAGGACCATCAAGGATGATCGTGGACACCCATGCGAACAATAAGATGCACGAAGCCGACAGATATACAGGGAATGGACGCCCGAGCGATGGCAAGGCATGATGGTGCCACGCACTCAGCCCGCAATCGCTCGCTCTTGCTCGAAGAAAATGCTGCCGAACGTTTTCTCCTCCTGCCTTCGCCTCCCATCCTCTGGCGGATCGTGGCTCCGCACGGATTCTTGAGCGAGATGGCAACGGAAGGGGGAAACGCAGAGGACAGGCAAGGAGAGGAGGCTACAGTTGCTGATAAAAAAGCCCTCCTTTCTGCCGAACGTCCAAATAAGATTTCGGAGTTCCGCCTGGAGTTCTTGGATCGGCGATGGGCCCCCCTCCCTGTCGCGCGGAGCTCGCCAGCGGCGGCGCCGGAGGCGCCGCCAGGGGCGGCCAGCGCCGATCCAAGAAGTTAGGTCGGAGCTTCGACATTTTGCGGTTAGGTTGCTTCGCTTCTCCTATTGACGTAGAGTCAAGCCGCATCATGAGGATGAGGAGGTCTCCAAGGATCGGCGGCGAGCGAGGGGCAGAAGGGAGAGGAGCGGCTTCTCAGAAGCCCCCGCTCTTTCTGAGAGGTTCTCTGCGTCGTCGGGGAAGGCTTGGACACATTCTCAGACGAGCGGTGTTTCTGAGAAGTCCCGCCACCTTTCGAGAAGGGCTTCTCCTTCTCACTTCCCCTCGAGTCTCAGCGCCGAAGAGATTCCCCGCCATCCTGGCTTCTTGGCCCACCGTAGGTCTTAGCCATGACCCACGGTCCTTGAACTTCGGCCTGTGTCTGGGTTTTCGCTGGCCTTGCGTCCATACCTCCCATCCTGATGCAGTCGGACCGAGGCATAAGATCGATGTCAGCTCGGGGATGGCACCCTCGTGTTCTTCGTGCTTGTTGGATGTTGTTGTTGTGCATCCTGGAGAGGGCATGGTCTTGAATGATGTTCTTCTGGTCTAAGTCCGATTGTTATTTGGTTGCGCTATATTGCAGTATCGGTCCTGTGCTGTGGTGTAATGGGCTTCTTGCTCTTACCCGTTCCATCCCCCCTTCTTCTCTTCCCCACTATTGGTGTTGGTGGAGTTGCCGCCAGAAAGCCGAACAAGTAAAGTTGCAACAGATCCTCCTCACCTCTGGGGAGAAGGGGTTCGTCTCCGTTCGATTCGACATGTTGGGCAGTGGGATACTCGGGAGGAGGAGGAGACGCAGAATGAACACGATGCAGATGAGAAGGATGAGGCGCTGGATCAGGATAGGGAGCATCCGCAGGAGAAGGAAAAACACGAGGAAGGACGGATGACTGTCAATGGGGAAAGGGTATCATTTCTCGCTACACATACATATGATTGTACACCTGCATGTACATACGAATATACACATCTCTCAGCTACAGGGGGCCTGGGGCCGAAGGCCACCAGGGGCAACGGCTGCATACCAAGGTCCTGCAGCCTCCCTGGGGCGTCCCAAGAGCCTCCCCTCCTCCTCCTCCTCCTCCTCCTCCTCCTCCTCCAACTTCCTCCTCCTCCTCCGCCTCCTCCTCCTCCTCCTCCTCCTCCTCCTCCTCCAGACCCACCTGAGCTGTTCCGGATGTCCAGGATGGTTTCCAGACTGCTCCTGCACGGCCGAAGATGGCCTTAAGACGACCCAAGAGGCCCCCAAGACGCTCCAAGATGGTTCCAAGAGAACCCGCCCACGAGGGACCCGAGCGGCAAACATCGCCCATTCTTTCTAGAAAGCGCATGTGTGTAGCACATGTTTTTGTTGATTGTCCTACCAGCGCCCCAGGCGGCTCCAAGAGGCCCCCTAAAGTGCCCAAAGACCGACAAAGAGGCCGCCGAGAGGGTCCCAAGAATTCCAAGATGGCCCCAAGTCGGCCTCAGAGGCGACTAAGACTATTCAAAGCGCTTCAAGAGGGTCCCAAGAGGCACAACACAGTCCCCCCAAGCGCTCCCCAAGCGGCCCCCGGATCGCTCTCGGCACCACGGTGGCCCCTGGCACATCCTTGAGGTCCCCAAGAGGTCCCTTCAGCCCCCAAGATGTCTCGAACAAGCCCGCAAGAGGCCCCAAAGAAGAGCCAATAGACGCCCGAGTGGCCTCCCACGAGTCCCCCGAGGGCCCTCTTAGAGACTACAAGTTATTGCGTGCACGCCTCACATCGAAGACACCTCCATTCCAGAAGGTAGACAAGCACTCTCCCCTTGAGTTCTCCCCATCCTCTTTCTCACCCTCCTCCTCCTCATTCCTCCTCCAATCCCTTCCTTTCCCACCCCTCCATCCTCTCCCCTGGTTCCTTCTCAATTCTCCCTCCCGCCTTCCTCTCTCACTCTCTTGCCCTCCTTCATTTCCTGCTGCTTTCTTTTCCCTCCATCCTCCTCCGTCTCCCTCGTCCCGTTCTCACTTCCCCTCCCTCTTTCCTCCTACTGGCCTCCTCATCATCCTCCCTCCATTCTGCTCCCTTCCTGCTTCTCTCGTATCTGGAATTCCAATGCATTGCGAAAGTGGGGCTCTAAGTTGGCCTCCGAGGCTAAAACGGTCCCGACGAAGGTTGCAATATGATTCAAGGATGGCCCATGACTGCCGCGAATACCAAGCCTCAGTGCGACTTCAGACACCATCACGTGGGCTTCTAAGCCAAGGGCCCGATCACCCGGGCACGGCCTCTGTGGCGCAGTATATGGTTGGCCCCATGGCAGGTAGAACGTGAGCGCGCGCGCGATGGTTCAATTGCTGAGATACGAGCGGGGGGAGGGAAGATGCGGAAGGACGACGGACAAGGGAGGAGGGAATCGGAGGAGGAGGAGGAGGAGGAGGAGGAAGAGGAGGAGGAGGAGGTGGGAGGATAGCGGTGGAGGAGAGGCAGGTGGATGGCTCCGGCCTGCCCGCCGAGGCCTCTCCACCGAGACGGCCCCCCACGTCGACGACCCCGTCCGTGCTCAACAGCAAGGTCCTGCCACCGTGGGCGCGTCCGCCACCGCCTCCCCTTAGTGGACCCTGGAAACGACAGGGCCGTTTCTTACCGGTTCCGTTTTGCCGTTTTGTTGCTGGTTCCGACGCAGTTTTTTACCGGTTCCGTCGCCTTTTTTTGACCGGTTCCGGCTCCGGTTCCAATCTTGGAACCGTTTTTTTACCGTTTCCGGTCGCCGTTTTTTTGCCAACTTCCATTTTCAAGGGACATTTGTTTTTTGGGAAACGGTGAAAAACGGCCCTGTCGTTTCCAGGGCCCGCAAAGCTCCATCTCCCGGAGTTTCCCCAGAGACCACCTGAGAACTCTTGTGAGCCTGTGGAGACCCGCGGGGGGGAACACCCCCCCCTCCAGGTCCTGGCGAACATGGGCGTGGTGCCGAGATGCGGCGACCCGCCCATCGACCCCGAGGACGTGTTGGCTTCCATCGAGGCCCTGGTGGCGGCGTTCGGCCACGCGCAGACGGGGGTAGGGGGGAGGGGAGAGGGCTTCTGAGAACCTCCCCTGCTTCTTTGAAGGCGCGGCCCTCGTCTGTAGATGCATGGCCGGCGCCTTCTAAGAATCGGGGGCGGAAAAGAGGGGGGTGATGACTAGGGGGGGGGATATCATGGCGGGGGCCATGAGATCTCCCCAGATCTCATGGCGCCTCTTCTTATTCCATTACGTCCCTGGCCCCCAACCTGGGCCGCGCACATGCCGCCGGTCATGATTTGCACCCCCCCTCCTCTTGGACACCCCCCTCTTGGCCGCTCCCGAAAGAAGCGGCCTCACTCTAAGCGGCCCGCCCCCCTCCGCCTGCCCCCCTGTGTGCGCGCCGCCAGGGCGTCTCGCCGCCGAAGCGCCTCCTCCCCCCCTGCCTCCCTTCCACCTGCGTCGCCCGGGGGGGCGCCGCAGGCTTCTGTCAGGAGGGGAAAAAACACACAGACACAATTCATCGTCGATTCCCCAGAAAATATGGGGAAATATGGGAAGTGGGGGGGAAGACAAAAATCCAGAAATTATGGGAACATTTGGGGAGTCCTTTTGTTTGTGTGTATTGATTTGTGTGTCCTTGGGCCCCTTCATTCTGCGCTTCGCGCGCCTGGTGCCAGAGATCGAGCGGGGGGATATCGACTTCACAATCGGTGTGCCCCCAAGCTTGCATCGCTTTGCGTCGAGTCTGCCAGGCGACGGCAGCGGCGACGACGACGACGCTGCCGCTCTGGAGTCGTTCTTTGGGCTCTCCTGGGAGCCTCTCGGGCCCTGCTGGGGCCAGGGAGATGTTTTTACCTAACAGCGAAGACTGATAGGTTTCTAGTGGTCTTAAAAAAGAGCAGCAGATGACTCCACAGGGGGGTCTGGGCGGGTGCCGGACAGGGTGCCGCAGAAGTCGTTTTAAGCCAACAGTCACACACTTCGTGCTCTTCGACCTCCCAGAACTCCATTCCCGGGCCACATTCTGAATGCCCGGAGCCAACTGTAGGCCACTTCGTGCTCTTCGAGTTCCCAGAACTCCATTCCCGGGCCACATTTTGAATGCCCGGAGCCAACTGTAGGCCACTTCGTGCTCTTCGAGTTCCCAGAACTCCATTCCCGGGCCACATTTTGGATGCCCGGAGCCAACTGTAGGCCACTTCGTGCTCTTCGACTTCCCAGAACTCCATTCCCGGGCCACATTTTGGATGCCCGGAGCCAACTGTAGGCCACTTCGTGCTCTTCGAGTTCCCAGAACTCCATTCCCGGGCCAGATTTTGAATGCCCGTAGCCAACTGTAGGCAACTTCGTGCTCTTCGACTTCCCAGAACTCTCATTCCTGGGCCACACTTTCAGCAGGGGCAAGAGCACGACGAGGAGGAGGACGAGCAAGACCAGGAGGACGAGGACGAGCAGGAGCAGGACGAGGAGCAGGAGGAGCAGGAGAAGAAGGACGAGCAGGAGGAGGAGGACGACGAGCAGGAGGAGGAGGACGACCCAGGAGGAGGAGGACGACCAGGAAGAGGAGGAGGAGGAGGAGGAGGAGGGGAGGGGGAGGACTACCAGGAGGAGGAGGAGGAGGAGGATGAGGAGGAGGAGGAAGGAGGAGGAGGAGAGAGAGGAGGAGGAGAGGAGGAGGAGCAGGAGGAGGAGGAGGGGAGGGGGGGGGAGCACCAGGAGGAGGAGAACGAGACCACCAGGAGGAGGAGGAGGAGGAGGAGGAGGAGGAGGAGGAGGAGGAGGAGGAGGAGGAGGAGGAGAGAACACCAGGAGGAGGAGGACGAGCAAGACGAGGAGGACGAGAACGAGGGCGACCAGGAAGAGGAGGAGGAGGAGGAGGAGGGGAGGGGGAGGACTACCAGGAGGAGGAGGAGGAGGAGGAGGAGGAGGAAGAGGAGGAGGAGGACGAGGAGGAGGAGGAGGAGGAGGACGAGGAGGAGGAGGGGGGGGAGAGCACCAGGAGAAGGAGAACGAGGACCACCAGGAGGAGGAGGAGGAGGAGGAGGAGGAGGAGGAGGAGGAGGAGGAGAGAGCACCAGGAGGAGGAGGACGAGCAAGACGAGGAGGACGAGAACGAGGACGAGCAGGAGGAAGAGGAGGAGGAGGAGGAGGAGGAGGAGGAGGAGCAGGAGAAAAATGAGGAGGAGGAGGAGGAGGAGGAGGAGGAGGAGCAGGAGAAAGAGGACGAGCAGGAGGAGCACGAGGACGAGCAGGAGGAGGAGGAGGAGGACGAGCAGGAGGGGAGGGCGGCCGGCTGCCCCGGCCGGCTCCTACACATGGCTGTTAGGTTGCTTTGCCGGGATAATTTGTTTGTTCGTAGCAAGTCAGTCCTGTAGCCGATCCTCTGCTGAGGAGAGGCCGCCCCCTCCCTGGCCCTGGCCGCTCTACTGCTCCCGCGCGCCTGGGTCGTTTTTTCTGTTCCTGCGGCAGCCCAGGTGATGCGGTATGTGGGGTGGGGGGGGAGAAACGCAAGTCAGGGCTCACGAGACGGGCGTCATCGGAGGAGGAGGAGGGAAAGGTACCGATACCGCTACTCTTCCCTGGCTTTCCCCTCTTTGGGCCTCCTGGGAGTCCCTTGTCGCCACCGTCGGATGCGCTCCGAGATGCTGGTCAGAGCGCGCCCCAGGAGAGGTCCAGGGAGTAGCGGTATCGGTACCTGTTGTTTTTGTTCCAGGTCAAAGCAAATGGTGGTCAGTCAGAGCGCTGGAACTTGCAGGATCCTGCAGAGCCAGGGTTGCATTGACACGGGTTTGGGCGCAGGATCCTGCAAAGCTTGATTGACCCGGGTTTAGATCAACCCAGGTCAGTAGATCCGCGAGTAAGATTCGAGTACGTCAGACATCGGGTTTGCGAACTTTTTGTTCGACGAGCGCGTCCTGGGTGGGATGCTTGCAGTAGGAGCTCGCGTCAAAATTCAGACGGGCTCTTGTCATTCTCATGATGGCCCCCTCAGGTCAGCCCGAGTCTCCCCACTTCGAGTCTTTCGCTTCCCCAGCCTCGCGGGGGTAAGTGGGGGGGGCATCCCATAACTTGATCTTTTCGCTTTGGGCAACGCCGCGAAGGATTGCAAACAAAAAACGAAGGATTGCAAAAAAAAACCAACGCGCACCAGTTCTGCGTACCCTCGGACCTGCGCAACCGTCAAGTCGGGTTGCCAGCACGTCGGATTATGGAGTCGCTTCGCTCCTTCCGCCGGCCCTGGAGCGCTATTTTGGGGCCGTCCTGGGGGCCGTCCTGGGGGCTTCTTCGGGGCTTCTCGGGGGCGTCTTTGGAGCGTCTTGGGGCTCCTTGGCGGCGTATTGGGCTCCCCTGGGGCCTCTTGGGGGGCTCTTGGGGGGCCCTTGGGGCGGGAGGGGGGGTAGTCGTTGGCAGCCCCCCCCCTCGGAGGCCACGATCCTCGTGAGGGGTGGCGAAAATAGCCTCCCCCCTGGGGATCGCCGGGGGTCAGCCGGGGATCGGCCGGGGTACTTTTCGTACGGGGCCCCCCAGGGGCCGCCCCGCGCGCGCGAACTAGAAACATTGTTAAGTATCGGATGTTGATCGACCTCCTACCCTGACACGTCGATTAAGGAATTGGCCGTTTTCGGTTCGCGATGGGGCGTCGCGGCCGTCGTTTTTGCGGGTCCAGGTACGTCGGTTTCGGTCTTGGGCCGTTTTCACTAAAAAGGGAGGTTTATTAAAGGGAGGTGTGTCCACCGCCGAAAGTAGTAGCCGGAGATCTTAGTACGCCTCTGGCCCGTTGGGCCGGCGGACCAGTTCTGCGTGCCCTCGGACCTGCGCCACCGTCAAGTCGGGTTGCCAGCGAGTTGGATGATTCGGGGGGGGGGCCGGCGGGCCCGACGACCCGGCGTATCGGCAGACCCTGCAACAAATTTCAGGAGGGGAAGGACACACAGACACAATGAATCGTCGATTCCCCAGAAAATATGGGGAACTATAGGACTTGGGGGGGAAGACAAAAACCCAGAAAATATTGGAAAATATGGGGAATCCTGTTATTTGTGTGTATTTATGTGTGTGTTCCAGGGCCCCTTCAAAATTGTGGAGGCCATCGTGGAGCTCATACTGTACGACCCCAAGGAGCCAAAGGAGGATCTCCACTACCACGCGGGCTCCTGGCTGAGCACCCTCACGTCCTGCCGCGGCCGCGTCCCCGTGCTGAGCAGTCCGGTGCTGTGGGCCATCGCCGCGGTCAACGTGCTCTTGTTCTTCGCCTTCGAGTGGTGCGGCAAGAGCGACGTCGTGCTGAGTTCGGAGGCGGGCAGTTTCTTCGAGTCCGTGCTGTCCCTGAAGTTCACGCCCCTGCGGCTGATGTCGGTGGGCCTGATGTTTCTGCTGATCTTCCGCACCCAGAGCGCATACGAGAAGTGGAACGTCGCGAGAATAGCGTGGGCCAGCGTGAAGGTCGCGTGCCGGGACATCAGCCTGAGCGTCTGCACCTACAATCGTGACCTGAGCGCGGCGCTCACCACGTGCCGCTACTTGCTCCTGTTCGTGGTCAGCCTGCGCTGCTGGCTGCGCGAGAGGCCAATTCTTAAGCCGGGCCTGTCCCTCTACAGGAGGAATATTCAAACGTCGCCAAAACATAGTCCGGGGACGATGTCCTGAATGATTTTGGTTATTTCTCGTGCTTTTCTATGTTTTTGGTTTTTCCTTCAGAATCCGACTGTAGGAGGACATGCCCGACCGAAGGCCAATCCCCGACGCCCTTCTGGGCCAGCTCGCCACACCCAAGCTCAAGAAGGTCCTCGGCGACGCCGCGAGGGAGCACGAGCTGGTGGACCTGCCGGCGTCGCGCCAGCAACTCCTGTACGACGAGCTGCTCTCGTTCCAGTTCAAGAGCGTGTGCCATCCCCTGGTGATGCTGGAGGGCCTGCGGGCCGTGCTGAACGTCACCGTCGAGCAGGGCTCGCTGCCGCACTTGCACGGGTCGATTGAGCAGGGACTCAAGGTGATGGGAACCTCGCTGTCCCGCATGGAGTCGGTGCAGGACACCCAGCTTCCTTTCGCGTACGTTGTGCACATCCGAACTGCCCTGGTCGTGTTCTTCCTGATCGCGCCGCTGTTCCTGGTCCACCCCGACTCTGGGAGCGGCTGGTTTGGGCTCGTGTTCACCCTCGGATTTTCGGCCACCCTGCTGGGGCTTGAGAACCTGGCGGAGGATTTTGGCGGTTCCTTATAAGGGGGGCGTTTGGCGAGGGGGGCTGTCTTCGAAGAAGTCTGTGGGCCTTCCCAGAACGAAGGGAAGGGATATCGCCCCCACCCCCATGCCGTTTACTGACGTCCCAGCCCCTCGGTTCTGCGCGTTTGTTGCACGGCCCTATCTTGTTTGCTTCCTTCCTCAGGTGGGTTCCTTGGGAGGCTTTTGGGGATGCGAGGATTGCCATTTCGCCCACTACAGAACCGGCGCCACTCCACCAGGCTGCTACCATCCCCCCGGTTCTGCGCGTTTGTTGCACGGCCATGTCATGTTTGCTTCCTTTCTCAGGGGTGTTCAGTGGGAGGCCTATGGGGATGCGAGGAGTGCCATGTCGCCCACTGCAGAATCGGCGCCACTCCACCGTGCTGCTACCATGTGTGCGTCGTCCCCCCGGGCAGCGCGCGCGCCGAGGGATCCCGCAGCAGAAGCTCCGTGGCGGGCGCCTGCCAACAGTGCCGTTGGGGAAACGATCTGCTGCAGCACGTGCTACAGTGCCGGTTTTGATACATGCTACGCGTGCGGATCATGTACTAAAAATGCAGGGATCACGATGAGTTCATGCATACATTTATTCATAAATTAGTCATGCATTAAAAAACCCATATTAACCAGCCTCCAACGTATCCCTATCCCTAAGATGGGCGAGCAACAAGCGAGGACAATCTTAGGGATAGGCCCTCAGAAGCTGAGGGAATCCTTAAGATCGGCATCGAGGTGAGGTGATGTCAAACATAAGGATAGGGATATGTTTCAAACCGGTAACATATGTTTAACTTCCTATGTGTTAAAAGCTGCCCTGTATGCTGCAGCATGTGTATGCCACATGCTCGGGTCGGGCGCGCCCCTCCGGGGCAGACGCCTCGTGCCAGCGTGCCCTTCCTGCGTGCCACGGCGGCCAGAAGTCTGGAGAAGGCCCCGGCCCCCCTTCGGAAGGGCCCCCCCCCCCTTTTTGCCCTCTCAGGCCTCCCCCCCCTCTCCCCCCTTCCTCTCGCGGCCCTCTCAGGCCCTCTCAGGCCCCCTCAGGCCCTCTCAGGCCCTCTCAGGCCCTCTCAGCCCTCTCAGGCCCTCTCAGGCCCTCTCGGGCCCTCTCAGGCCCTCTCAGCCCTCGCAGCCCTCTCAGGCCCTCTCAGCCCTCTCAGGCCCTCTCAGCCCTCTCGGGCCTCCCCCCCTCCCTCCCTCCCTCTCGCGGCGGGATGCGCCCACGTCCACGGCCCTGCGCCCGGGGTCCCCTGGAGATCGCGATCGGGTGGGTCCAGGGCGGCGCTCTATAGCGCAGCCGCGGGGCCAGCGGGGGGCTTGGCATCACTCGGACGTGTGCATTTTTCCTTCGGCGAGGGCCATCGAGGAGCATCCTTGATCATGTGGCGAAAGCACCACGCACGAAACCGAACAAAAAGCACAGGGAATGGACGTCCGAGCGATGGCCAGTACCATGTCGCCCACTGCAGAATCGGCGCCACCCCACCATGCTGCTACCATGTGTGCGTCGTCCCCCCCCCCCAGGGCGGCGCGCGCGCCGAGGGATCCCGCAGAAGAAGCTCCGTGGCGGGCGCCTTCCTGACAGTGCCGTTTGGGAAGCGATCTGCTGCAGCACGTGCTGCAGTTCCGTTTTGAATACCTGCTCCGCGTGCGGGTCGCATCCATGGGACCGCGCCTCGGTGCCCACCCCGCGAGGGCAGAGGATGTGGACAGCTCCGCCGTCCGTGGCCCCGCGGCGCGCCCGCCGAGAGGAGCTCTCGAACCCCTTCGGGCTGGACAGCAACGACCTCCCCTCGGACGCCTACACCTGCAACCTCGCCAGCCGGGTGCTGCCGAAAAGGGTGGGCTTCCCTGGCCCACGGGCTGTCCGCAGGGGTCCCCGTGGGGACGCCCACCAGGGCAGATCCTCCTCCTCCTTCTCTCCTCCTCCCTCCTCCTCCTCTTCCTCCCTCCTCCTCCTCCTCTTCCTCTTCCTCCTCCTCCTCCTCCTCCAGCCCCTTTCTATCGAGATTCCATTCCCAGGGGCAGATTCTCTTTCTTCACCGTACATCGTGAAGGGGCCACACATGCCCCAGTTGCGGCCGCTCCTCTGGGCGGTGATGGCACAGCAGCAACTTCGCTTATTGGGGTGGAACCCCCAGTCTTGTACGGGCGACAGGCTTGAAAAGGTGGTGGTGGAGACATCGAACTTTGACTTAATTCTGTTACTTGGGACTCAGGCGGTGGATCGGAGGCAGCAATCTTCTGGGAGCGTTGTTCTTCGGCGACATGTTCAGGGACGCCTTGTTTTGGAGGCCCCCTTCGGTCCACCGGCTCCTTTGAGTAATTCGAGTGCGTGGTGCTCTGTCATTATTGGTAAAAGTCTTCCAGGACCAGCATATTATTCAGACGTGGGCTTCCCCAGCGGAGGCCAAGGGGCGGTGTCTTGGAGTTCGAGTTAAACGAGGGAGAAGTGATATCTGTGGGATAAGTCTCTACTTTCCACCGAAACCGTCTCGCCTCCAGCACCGTCCACACTATCTTCGCACTGTTCGTGTTCTTATTGAATGGCTTAGCGGCGTCCTCTCTGTGCTGCCGCACAGGACCATTCCCGTGATATTCTGCGACGCCAACGACGGGACAGGCCTGCCAGTGGGTGGAGGGGGGATCGAGACGGTCGTCGTGCAGGCTCCCTCGCCTGAGAGATTGCGTAAGGGAGCAGGTGAGCAATTCCGTGAACTTCTAGAGTCTCATGAAATGATGGCGACGAATTCGCGTGGGCATTCGGTTATTTCAAGTTATTATGGACAAGATTCGGGCCGGGCGAAAGGGGGGGATTGGGAAAGGGGGGGTTACGAAATTTGCTGCATGCAGCTGGTTTCGGCCTCACCGAGGGGCCCATTCCTCGATGCACAGACGCCTCCGGCGCCGGGAGGCGCCAGGAAAATCAGCTACGTGAGCTGATTCTCAAACCCCCCCTTTGCTATCCCCCCCCTTTCGCCCGACCCGAAAGATGGGGGTAAGTCTCGCATTGATTACCTCTTTATACCGTGCGGAATGGAAGATGCAATAGCACACTCGCGCGTACTTAGACGACTCGGTGCTCGACTTCAGACTCGGTGCTCGACTTCAGGCGTACCAGGGCCCTAGTCCTCGATATCACCTATCGATTGAATGTACTTTGTGGTACGCGCAGCATACGATCGGCCCTACGGGCGCCCAGACACGCCTCCGCTGGGATCATGATGAATTGATGTCAGCCCTTCACGGCGGTCAACTTAAGGCTGGCTTTCTCACATCAGTTCAAGAGCAGTTAGACCAGCGAGGCGTGTATCAATATATGCGAGATTACGCTTCCCCTGATGAGATATGTGAATTGCTGGAAGATTGTATTACGAAGGCGGGACAAGTTCACTTCAGCACGGCGACGCATGGTGGTGTCCCTCGGAGGCAGAGAACGACGATGGTTACTTCATGTGCGAGCAGACATACGCGACGGTAAGATGTAGGCCTCCCCTGAGGAGGCGATTCGCATTGATGAAGAACTCAAGCGCATATCTCAAGAGCAGCGACTTCTACGACGAAAAGCCGCCCGTGCCCTTCAATCTCAGTTGGTGTCGGAAGCGACCGACTTGTGGAATCATCAGAGGCAAGCAAAAGCAATGAAGTTGGCACGACGTGCGGCACGCACGCGCATAGGAGCTAAGAAACGTGATGGGCTTCTTGTTCGGACTGCGCCACCCACTTTCAGAGGCTTGGTTGGGTGTGTGGTCCCTGGAAGGCGCGCAAGGTGGTATGGCAGCTCACCGTCAGAATCGGTTTGAATGGCGTGATAGGGGAATGGCCAGCAGTTTGTTTGGGAAAGTACGGAAGCGATTATGGATCTATACGAGGATGATGTTGTTCGAATTATTCGCTGGATGCGACGCGCAGCTAAACGACGAGCAGTTCCAGATTCGACGGCACCGTTAGAGCTCTGGCTGATGCTTTTCTTACCAAGGAAAGCCCTCCGACAGCGACGTGGCCAGGGCATAGGAGCTGACTTGAGTGTGCCGTCGGCGTCAGGTTTCAGATTTCTGGTGGAAGTGGGCTTAGCCAAGATCAGGATGCACAGCATTAGCCCGCTCTACTGGCACCGGACGGAAGGGGCAGGCATACGCAATTCTAATATTACTGGTCATCTCGGTCGTCGCGTGGTGCACGTTATGGCAGCTCTCGGAAAGGCATGCTACTCTACGCTGTTGGCTCCACCCCCTGCTGTCCAAGACCACGGTTACTACCGACGCCGTCGTCGCGAGGACGCTGTCATGGGAGCGCTGATTGCATCGCGGCGCTTACGAGCTCAGGGCATCACACACGCTAGGACGCTCAAAGATATGTTCAACGCTTTCGGCAGCACTCAATGGGATCAGCTAGACGAAACCGTACTTCTTCACTCCTGTGAATGTGATCACGCTTTATGCCAACAGCGATACAAGAATACAGTTATTTCTCTGGAAGCGCTGGGAGGCCCTCTCACAGTTCGGCCTACGCAGCGGAACACGATGGGGGGTCCATTCGCTGTCCGAGCTTTCGTGGGCACTTTCGCACGTCCAACTTTTTCTTGGAGGCATGGTGCGTCCCAAGCTGATCTACAGCCCAAGCGACTGCGAGCATCGTGGCAGGGACTACAAGCCGACCTCAGCACGTACAAGTTTGCGGATGATATTAACTGTTATGTGCTAGCCGACCCGAACATGCCGCTGAGGGACTTCACGCGGAAGGTCACAGCGGTTGATGCGAGATTGGATTCTTATGTGACGGAGTTCGGGCATGGCCAGAATTGTACAAAGCAAGAGTATCTCTCTCTCTCTTTTTTTTTTTTCGTTGCACGCGGCTATCAGCGTCGACAGCTGCTCCGCCAAAGCCCCGCCTTCCCCCAGGGCTCTATCAAGGAACAGGCGAGATATCTTGGGCCTCACTTGCAGTTAGGTGTTCGGCTAGGTCTGAGATTTCCAGGAGGTGTTCGGCGGCTCGCTCTGGCTTCTTCTCCCTGGGCAGGGCTTGGAGTCTTGGGGCCCCGAAAAAGTGGAAACGGAGTCTCATCATCGGGTTCGTTCAGAACGCTATCCTGGGTGGACTTGGGAGTTTCGTGGTTGCGGAGACGGGCGCTACTATTCTAGGCGGCTGTCTGGCAAGTCTTGGGCGTATAGCTATGTTAGGCAACGCTACTTCCTGGGGCGGGCCGAGCGTGAAAACATTACCTGGCAAACAGATACTCCCTTCCCTCCTCATTGGAGCTCCTGATTCGCCGCGTCAAGCCGCATCATGCGTGGAGTGCGTACCCTGAGGAACATACTCAGATATTATGCGTGCTTTTTTTGATCTTCGCCTGTTGAGCTCATGCGACCGCAGCTTGGAACAGGCGGTCGGCCTGCATTGCACTCTTCGCCGTGGACAAAACAAGTTGCCTCATATCTCGATCGCGTCGCCAAGCTATTACCTCACGATGGAGCGCGAGATGTTGCTAACGACCTGCGCCTACTTAACGACCTGGAGGCCTCAGAGGACTTACGGAGAGTGGATATGAACGAACTTCCTAGTCAAGTCTTCTCGGTGCATCCCCCCGCCAGGATTTGCAGGCCCCCCCCCCCCCCCAGAGGAACCTCGCGAGGATCCCGAAGAACGCGCTGAATTGGATGCACCGTTCATGTGCCCAATGGACCTGGACGGGGAGCCTTGTCAGAGCGCCTTTAGGGTTTGGAAAAATGCTACTTGAACACCTACGTCATTGCCATGTTCTACGCAATCTAGCTCATGTGCTTACGCCAAGCAACGTACGTACACGCTGCTCACAGACTTTTGCAACGCAAGTTACTGCTGCACGACATCTATTACGCTCTCTGCAGAAAGGAAACTGTTTCACATGCGGGCCCCGTACCTTGTGCTTGCTGAATACCCCGTCGCCCCACGAATGCCCATGCTGTGACTTTGTGGGAATGGATGCATTACCCCTCTGTCGCCATCTTCGGAGCCATCTACCTGTCCAGATTGCGCCCTTCGCGACAACCTCTCGCACCGTAACTACCGACGCGCGCGGCTTCCATCATGGAAGCAGAGGCTCTGCAGAGACCTGCTTGGTACAAAGGTGTCAACTCCCCAGGAGTCGATGGCGCCCCGCCCGAGACCAAGCGCGGCAAGAAGGAGGCCACGGGCGGCCAGGGAGGTCGCATTCCGCTCGACAAAATCATCTTAGTCATATGCAAGCTGATTTGGGCCAACAGTCGAGAGCTCGCAGACCTAGGAGCTGCGGTGTCTCTGCGGCACGAGATGGACGCAGGCCAGGGCATGATCGCGGCCGCGCTCGCGGCAGGATATGATCGCGGCCGCGCTCGCGGCTCGCTCGCTCGTTGTAGGCCGCGCTCGCGGCCTGCAACGAGACGAGCAAGGATATGAAGAAGCTCACAGACGGTGGCGGGAAGGCAGACCACAAGTCACGCGCCGCCTTCAGGGCGGCATGGGAGTACGGAGCAACGAAGGCAGTGACAGAAGAAGGGGATCCAGCACTGCGCGAGCTCGCGGAGAAGCTCAAGAAGGATATGCTCCAGTTCTGGGACGAGCGGCTTTTGCAGGTATCTCTTTCTGTGGTGGCCCGTGCAGTTCAGTACTTCCGCGTTCGTGTGCATCGCCAAGTGGAGGGCCAGAAGGACAAAGCCACGCTTCTGTTCAAGATGGACCTGCACGACACGATGGGCGCAGTGATCGGACCCATGATAGAGACACTGGTGGCAGCGGAGGGGGGCCCCTTTCTTTCAGGGGCGGCGCCGCGCGGTCCGCTCGAGAGGGAGATATCGAAGTACATCGATCGGAAGGACACGGCGTGAGTCGATCTCAGCCGCTCGGGAGCCCTGGGCCGTCGGCTCGGACAGTGGAGGCGCCTCCCCCGCCAGCCTGTGCCAGCAGCAGCAGTGTGCATGACAGTCGTGAGTTGTTAGCTAGCAGGCTTCCGGTGATGGCGAGCAGCCAGCGTTTAGCAGCATTCGTAGCAGCAGGAAGTATAACACATGATGAAATAGCTCAAGCAGTAAGTAGGCCCCCAGCTATTCTTCCAGAAGGGTTCGCAGCAGCACCAGCTCCTGAGATTCCTGTAATTAATATGCCTTCGAATCGTGGCCGCGGCGGCTGCGCCCAAGGGAGGGGGGGGCGGGGGTCGAGCCTTGGTGGGCGTGGGAATGGACGGGGTCGCCGCGCCTAATTTATGGGCCCCCTTTGAGGGCTGCGTGCTTATGGGGGTGCCCATCGGCCAGTGCAGTCTCTTGCTGTGAGCCTGAGAGGGGCTCGCATCGTCAGTCGTCTGGTTTCGAAGGAACCCTCTCAGAGTACAGTCAAGTTTTCTCGGGCTCGTAGTCGGTTGCTTGACAGGGACTCCATGAGGATCTGCTCTGCTCTGCTCTGCTCCTCCTCCTCCTCCTCCTCCTCCTCCTCTCTCCTCCTCCCTGTTCCTCCTCCTCCTCCTCCTCCTCCTCCTCCTCCTCCCTCCCTCCTCCTCCCTCCTCCTCCTCCTCCTCCTCCTCCTCCTCCTCCTTCTCCTCCCCCTCCCTCCCCCTTCCTCCTCCTCCTCCCCCTCCTCCGGTTTCCTTCTCCCTCCCTCCTCCTCTTCCTCCTTCTCCTTCCCCTCACGAGGCCTGGAGGGCCCCTGGGGGTCCCTGCGTGGCGCCAATCAGCTGGAGACGCCCCGTCGGCGGCAAGCGAGGGGGGGAAGTGAGAGATGCACGCGCGCCCTCGAGGGCGCGAAATTATTCGCGTTTCGCGCTTCACGGTTCGGCTCCGATTCCCCCTCGTCTTCCTTTTCTCCCCTGGGAGGCGGCGCGATAGCTTGAAGTTATTCGCGCTGCGTGAAGCGCGAAGTTGAGAGCCCTTGGAAAGGCACACGCGCCCTCTGGGGAGTTTTTGTCTCCGTGCCTCCGGGCAGGGCTCAACAAACGTTTCCAAAGGTCGGGGGACTTTGGGGCCTGCGGAGACGCCCCGCCCCCCTCGTCGTTCCCTCCGCACGGGGGCTGGCCGCCAGGGCTCGAACTGAGCAGTGTTCTGGCGATTTCGTCGGCCGGTTTCGTTTCGATCTCGTTGCGCAGAAAAGGCAGAACGAACAGAGCACAAGGGACGACGAAAGCAAGATGACAAAACACAAGGCACCGCTTATAGCTCCAGCCCTGCTGACCCCCGACCCTCGTCCTCCTCCTTCTCCTCCGCGTTCTCCTCCTCCTCCTGCTCCTCCTCCTCCCCCTCCTCCTCCCCTCCTCCTCCTCCTCCTCCTCCTCTTCCAAAAGGTCCTCTCCGATGGGCCCCCTCAGGGTTTTTGGACCCGTCGGATCTCTCTCTCTCTCTCTCCCGTCGGGGGCGTGCAATCCTCCTCCTCCTCCTCCTCCTCCTCCTCCTCCTCCTCCTCCTCCTCCTCCTCCTCCTCCCCGATCCCCCTCCCCCTCCTCTGCTGGCCGCCGACCTTGGGCCGGGACCCACTCTTGGCAGCACCCGGGCCAGGGACATCAGCGACGCGGTGCAGCGGAGGCTCGCCCGCGAGGCCGCCCTCGCCGGCGGGCCCCGAGAGGCCGCGCCCCCCGGCGGAGGCGGCGCCCCGGCCGCGCCGGGCGCCCCGCCCGCGGGGCTGCCGGCCCTGTGAGGGCGCGCTCCCCGCGGAAGCTCTCGGGGCGCACGCGACCCAGGAGGAGGAGGGGGAGGAGGGGGAGGAGGAGGAGGAGGAGGAGGAGGAGGAGGAGGAGGAGGAGGAGGAGGAGGAGGAGGAGGAAGAGGAGGAGGAGGAGGAGGAGGAGAAGGAGGAGGGGGAGGAGGAGGAGGAGGAAGGGGAGGGGGAGGAGGAGGAGGAGGGGGAGGAGGAGGCGGAGGAGCAGGAGGACGAGGAGGATGAGGGGGAGGAGGAGGACCAGTGTGAAACCAATCGTCATCAACGATGTTGGAATTAACCCTCCCTCCAAGCGCCCTCTTCATAGGCCCCCACAAAGGTTCATTTCCACTTCGGGAACTGCCTCGTTTGAAGACAACCGTCTGAAGATCCTGAAGCATGCCAAAACATTAGTTTCTGCATTTCAACGCCACGTATCAACCTGACTGCTGCGTCTTGACGACCTGGAATCGTGCCAGAGAGCCATGGTTGGGAGTTCAACACTGCGAATCAACATAACTGTTGCACCCGCATAATCCTGAATCCTTTTGAAACACCATGTCTGCTACAAGGATCATGGGAATCCGTGGAACACCTGCAGATGTTTGAAAACGATTGCTTGCTGCGCTAAGGCGGGAGCCACATTTTGAAAAGGAACCGCCCTCACTCCGTGAAGCTCTTGCAAATTTTGAAAACGAGTGCGCGTGGCGCTAAGGCGAGAGCCACATGTTCAAAACCACTCGCCCTCAAGCCGTGAAGCTCTTGCAAATTATTAAAACGAGCGCGCGCGGCGCTAAGGCGAGAACCACATTTTGAAAACGATCCGCCCTCAAGCCGTAAAGCTCTTGCAGATTCTTAAAACGAGTGCGCGCGGCGCTAAGGCGGGAACCACATTTTGAAAACGATCCGCCCTCAATCCGTGAAACTCTTGCCTCTTTTTGAAGCGAATGTGCGCGGCGCTAAGACGAGAGCCACATTTTGAAAACGACCCGCCCTCCATCTGCGAAACCGCTGGCACTCTTTTAGCTTCAAAGTCATAAAGGGTGAGGAAGTCTCAGGCGAAACGCCCAGCCCGCCGTAACATCTGGCCTCCTGGGTGCGACAGGGAGGAGTTATCTATAAGGAGAAGTAATGGAGGAGGAGGAGGGGGAGGAGGAGGAGGAGGAGGAGGAGGAGGAGGAACCCCCTCGCGTCGTGAGAGAGTCACGACGACAGGTTTCTGTCCGCCATGTTCGGCCCACGGGCTGTCACCAGGACGACTCGGGATGAAAAGCCGGTCCCGGGGTAGGGTCAGAGGTGGACAGAACCCTCACCCTGGCACGTCGATTAGTGACATGTCCGTTTCCGGTTCTCGAGAGGGAGCCGCGGCCGTCAGTTTCCAGGCTTGCGCCCGCCAGGCTTGAGCCCGAGGTCGTTTTCACGAAACCACGTTTTACTAAAGGGGGTTCTGTTCTTCCCCCAGTCGACGTTTTGAACCAATCACGACGTCGGGGGAAAAGGTGTGAGATTAGGTCGGGCATGTCCTCCTACGGGTGGACCCTCGAGAAAAAGGCAAGACCAGCCAACCACATATTCGAACAGAGTCAAACGATTATTGGGAAACATCGTCCCCCATGCGATTGTTTCACTATCTGGGAATTTTCCTCCTGTGGGGGGGGGCATGCCCGACGTGCTCGCGAGGGCGCGCTCCCCGCGGAAGCCCTCGGGAGCGCATCCGCGGCGTGTCCTCGAGCCATGGCGGGGCGTCCTGGGCTCGCCTGCAGGCCCGCCAGGCGTGTGCCTTTACAGTTAAGTCGGGCGTGTCCCCCTACAGCGGGATTTTCGACGGAAAGCAAAAAATACACCAGAAATAGTCAAAACATAATCCAAACATAGTCTGGGGACGATTTTCTAACATTGTTGTTGGCAATTTTGGGGTATGTTCGGGTATTTATTTTTTCGTCGCAAATCCCCCTGTACGGGGACAGGCCCGACTTAACCCTACAGGGGGGGACATTCTAGAATCATGAAAAACAGGGCTGGGCCTGAACGGTGTTTTGGCGATTTGGTGGGCCGTTGTCGTTTCGATGTCGGTTCGCTGTGAAGGCGAGTTGAAGACAAAGCGAGGGAAGGCGGAACCAAAACGAAAACGAAAACACCGTTTAGGTTCAGCCCTGATCAAACATAGTCTGGAGACGATTTGTCGACCATTGTTTGACTATGTTGAGTACGTTTGGTCGATGTCTGCGGTTTGTTTCGAGCATCCTCCCGCGGGAGGACTTGCCCGACCTGATGCTAAGAACCTCCTTGGGGTCTGCACGGAGGGCTTTTTGAGAGCAGCTCTGGGCGAGACGGCCTCGTCTTTGCACGCCAGCCGGAAGTTCCAAGACTTTATGGGTCCTGAGACACGCTTTGCTGTTGTTTTGTTTTGTTTGCTCGAGCCTTTATTTTTGTTACATGCTTATTTCGTTTCGTTTTGTTGCCAGACATTTTGGGTCTATCAATACTTGTTTCGTTTTTAGAACGCGTTACATCGACCTGGAATCGGCGTTACATCGCCGATGGATCGGCGATAGGCCCCCGATGGTGAATCCGCAGCTTCCTGGGCAGATTGAGGCCATCGGGCCACCATCGGCGATCAATGGGCGATTGGGGGTCGATGCATCCCCCCCGATGCAGGTCCCACACCATCGTTGCCCCTGATCTGGACGCCCGAAATGGGTGCGACAACATGCCTACAATGCTCAACAACGAATGTTGTCCCAAATCAACAGCGGCCGCTGTTGGGCAGGCGGCCTTCTGTCCCAAGTGGACCTGGCGCTGGGCCTACGGGAATGCCGGGACGGTCGCTGCCTGCCTGCTCCACGTCGGGGCGCGGGCGACGGGGCGGCAGTGCGCGCGGTCCCCCCCCTTCCCAGGAGAACCCCACCTCCTCCCTCCTCCTCCTCCTCCTCCTCCTCCTCCTCCTCCTCCTCCTCCTCCTCCTCCTCCTCCTCCTCCTCCTCCTCCTCCTCCTCCTCCCCTCTTCCTCCTCCTCATCCTCCTCCTCCTCCTCCAGATCGGCGACTTGGATCCGACAGGCGATGCGAATCTGAGGAGGAGGAGGAGGAAGAGGAGGAGAAAGGGGAGGAAGAGGAGGATAATCAAGTGGGGGGAGGGGGCTTCGCGTTGCGTGGCGAAATCCTTCTGCCTGCCAGAGGTCCGACGCTCCGGACAAGTTGGAGCAAGCGGTTTTCGGCCGTGTTCGGCCGCTGCGGGCCCTCGCTGGGCCTCGGGAGCGTCGGAAAACGATGCAGGACAAAAAGCTGGCTCTGGGGACCACGCGTCGAACAAATTGGAACCGCCGGATGTCTGGGACACTAGTTACCCGGGCCACATCTAGTTACCCGGGCTACACCCCCCCCCAAGGCAGCGCTCACGATCGTACTGCGGGGGTGAGGCTGGACCACCTCCATACTGCTTTGGCGTGCACAGGCGAGTGATGCGCCGGTGTCACGGACGCACCCTGGCGGGCGCGCGCCGCGGTCGCAGTTACCGCTACCCTCCCGCCCGAGCACCCCCCCCTTCCCCCGGTAAGGACCGTTACATGGGAAATGACAAAAAACGGTCTCGCACGGATGCATTTGGAGCATCTGCGCAGCGCCGCGTGCAGGGGGAGAGAGAGGAACGGAGGTCACCACCCACCAAACCACCCCAACCCAACCCGAAGGCATCAATTGGCCCTCCATTTCCAGTTGGGGGGGGTCGGGGAACATCGAGAAAACACATATGGAACCCGTACCCCCCCCAACCCGAAATTCGGGTCTTCGGGTTGGGTTGGGGTGGTCTGGTAGGTAGTCAGGAGGGAGGAGGGCGGGGCATAATCCAGCCGAACGGCTGGCCGACGTTTGAGCTGTGCAGCAGCCGCTGCCTCGCGCTCCGTCCCGGCAGCAGGACCCGTCGTGGGAAGGCCGCCTCGTGGGCGCCACGTGGGCGCCCCGCGCTTTGGGGGGGTATGTTGGGCTTTTGCCATTTTGCCACGCCATTCTCCCTCTCCTCCTCCCTCCTTCGACCTCCTCCTCGCCCTCGCCATCCTCCTCCTCCTCCTCCTCCTCCTCCTCCTCCTCCTCCTCCTCCTCCTCCTCCTCCTCCCCCTCCTTCACCCTCCTCCTCCTCCTGCCATCTCGTAGGCCTCTTCGTGGGCGCCCCGCGCTGGGAGGAGGGTACGTTTTGGCTTTCGCCGCGCTGCTGCCCGCGCCGCCCCGATGGCGCCCCGCTGCCGCCCCCTCGGCGCCTCGCGGGTGCGTGTGGGCTTTCGCCAGGTTGCCGCCCGTGCCGCCTCGTGGGCGGCACGCTCGTAGGTGGACAGAACCCCCAGCAGTGACACGTCGATTAGTGAACTGTCCGTGTTCGGTTCTCGAGAGGGCGCCGTGGCCGTTCTTTTCCAGGCTTGCGCCCGCCAGGTTTGGGCCTCAGGCCGTTTTCACGAAACCACGTTTTACTAAAGGGGGGTCTGTCCATCCCCGACACGTGGGCGCCCCGCGCTTGGGTGGTATGTTCGGTGTTCGACACGTTGCCTCGCGCGCCGCTTCGCGGGCGCATTATGAATCTACGCGACGTCGTTTCCTCCACATGGCTTGCACCAGATAGCACGCACCACACAGTTTCTTCCGCAGAGTTTCCACGCCAGAGCTTGCTTCTCAACGCTTACACCCCATACCTGTGACCTCCTGTTCACACCGCATATCTTACACGACATGGCCTACAACACATAGCTTGAACCGCATAGCGTTCACCCGCATAGCTCACACCACAAAGCTTACACGACATAACTTTCACCACACATCTTACACCGAATCGCTTCCACAACCACGCTGTGGGGCACCGATCGTGCAGCAACTGGGGTCCGCGCTGTCAATCGCGTGTATTAGTTCAGCTGTTTGGGGCATGTGCTGACGATGATATGCACATGCTGTTTTTCACATGTATCCAAATTCGTGCGCATTTGCATATATGTAATCACTACAAATTCGTACCGATATAGTTGTTCAAAATGTATGGGAGGTCTGGGGGGTGTGAGCGGAAGTGGCACCAACCAGGAAATCGGTTTCGGGTCAGGTTCGCGTCGCGCGTGCATGCGAGGCGAAGCTGCGCGAGTTCCTGTACTGGTAGGGGCCATCTGTTGCCAAAAGAGCCGCCCTGTCCCGTCGGCCGGCCGTGGCTCCCAGGTTGTCCCGGCGGTTGTCCCGATGGTTGTCCCGATGATTGTCCCAGCGGTTGTCCCGGCTGTTGTCCCGATGGGTGTCCCGATGGTTGTCCAGGTGGTCGTCCCGATGGCTGTCCCGATGGTTGTCCCGACGATGGTTGTCCGAATGGTTGTCCCGATGATTGTCCCGGCGGTTGTCCCGGCGGTTATCCCGATGGCTGTCCCGATGGTTGTCCAGATGGTTGTCCCGATGGTTGTCCCGTTTGTTGTGCCGACAGTTGTCTGGATGGTTGTCCCAATGGTTGCCCCGATGGTTGTTCTTAAAGTTGTCCCGATGGTTGTCCCGATGGTTGTCCAGGTGGTCTTCCCGATGGTTTTCCCGATGGTTGCCGCGTCGATGGTTGTCACGATTGTTGTGCCGACGGTTGTCTGGATGGTTGTCCCGATGGTTGCCCCGTCGATGGTTGTCCCGATGGTTGTCCCGATGGCTGTCCCGATGGTTGTCCAGATGGTTGTCATGATGGTTGCCCCGATGGTTTTCCCCGTGGTTGTCCCGATGGTTGCCCCGAGGGTTTTCCCCATGGTTTTTTGGGCGGTTGTCCTCAATGTTGTTTCGATGATTGTTCCGATGGTTGTCCGGATGGTTGTCCGGATCTTTGTCCTGACGTGTTTTTTGATGGTTCATAGATAGAAAGATCTTTAGATATATAGAGATCGATTGATTGATTCATTGGTTCATTGTTTTATAGAGTGGTCGATTCATAGGTTGACAGATTGGTAGATAGACTGGTAGATGGTGATATGTACCATATATACATATATATGTGTATCGTTAGGTAGATATTTTGATTTATAGATCACCGACACATATATCTATATATATATATATATGTATAGACAGGTGGGTTGGATAGCTTGTTAGTCCCATCGTTGGTAGCCTGATTGAGTCTTATGTATACACATATAGTGATATATCTATTGATTTATGTATAAAGTATACATGCAATTGTTCATCGATGTACTCATATACCAAGTGGACGAAAACTATACATACATCTTGACCAAAAGCGATGTAGGCATATACATACATAGATGTGCCCTTGGACATGTAGTTAGTTAGACACAGACATAGATCTTGCGATGTTTTGATCGGTCGATAGATATAACCATCACGGCCACCACCTCTACCATCACCACCACCATTACCACCACACCATCACCGTCACCATCACCACCATCATTCCGAAGGCATTTGCACTCAAGCCGTTGCGCCGTGGTGTGCGCTGCCAGCAACCCAGCCGCAACAAAGTGTCGGCTCTGGCTGCTCAGGGGGGGGGGGCTGGAACCAGGCTCTGCCAGCTGTAGCAAGGGCGCCTCGCCGTTTGCACGTTGTGTGCGATATCGACGAAAAGTAGCCTGCAGCAGCGGCGCCGCTCCAGGGCGAGCCAGGCCCTGCCAGCTCGGGCCATGTTGTTATCCGGTGCGAGACACGCCATAGCCATGGGCGCGGTGAAATTCGCAAAGCGATACATGTTCCGCAACGTGCACACAGCCACGCACTTAATGATGCGTCGGGACGCGTGTGATGCTGACGCAAAGTCGACTGTGGGGCGTCGTGGGCGTTCCTCTTGGTCTGATGAATGGAGCCCAGGGAGTCGTGGTTACGATTGGGCTTGCGGCCCCTGGCGCGCAGCGCGTGGACGGCAGGGCGCTGGCAGGATTTGGCTTTCCCCGTTCGCGGCCGGGCAAGTGCCCGAGAGGTCTGGAGGCCGCCTAAGACATGAGTGCCTGTCTTTTTGCGTGGAGGTTGTGCACAAGAGCACCAAGTTTGGCACCGTTCGCGCAGGGCCCCCGCTCCGACTGGCTTGGGCTCGCACGGTACACAAGTCTCGCGGCATCACCGCGCGCAAGGGTTGCGTCGCCTCCTTCGCCGGCGCCCAGTCCTCGTCTTGCGTCAGCAAGCTACGGCTCGCGTTCGTGGTTTGGACGCGCGGGCCGTGATGGGGGCACCTGGCTTTCCACGATCTCCCGCCTGTCGAGGACTTCGTGGCGGCGCGCCTCACCCGAGATTTCGAGGCCAGGTCGGCCTTCGAGGCCGAGGCGGGCGCCGTCTTTCTGGCGCATCTGGCGCCACGGGGCACGGCCCCAGAGGCGCTCATGCGGGCGTGCGAGCGCCATTTCAAGGAGGCGACTCGCGCCTTGGAGCAGCGGGGGCCGTCCCACAATGAGATCTCCGACTTGCGGGCAGTGCCAGCTGTCGACTGCGCGGCACCAATTTCTGATTGCGTTGCAACGTGCTGCGCGGAGAAGTCCGGTCGCAAGGGCGTCGAGTCGTTTGTTTTTGTAGCCTCCGTCCGCGCAGAGAAGAAAGGCGAAACCAAAAAGCGCGAGCCGAAGGAGGGCCCGAGTGAAGCGGGCGACGCATCGGTGACCAGGCTCTTGCAGTCGTCGGCGCCCCCGGACGCTCGTGGCTCAAAATGCTCTTCGGTGCAGGTTCATTGGCCCGGCAAGGCTGTCGCGACGCAGCGCAGACTGCGCAGCGCAGACCATGCAGGAAATGGGCTTCCAAGCTGATGACATTACCGCGCGCTGGAGAGCGCGTCGTCCACACTCCTCCAGGCGCTGCTGCCTCGCTCGACGACGAGCGCGCCGAGCAGGACGCCAGGGTCCGCTTTCGAGGACACCTTCGTCAGTCAGTGAAGGTCATCGACTGCCAGAAATTGGCAAGCTTGTCCGCGCTCGCACAGCGCAGGCTGCGCTCGCGCGCGACCGCTGCCAGCCCGGCGTGAGAGTCCGCGATTTCGGCCAGTGCGCATGTCGAACTTCTGGCGCGTGTTTCTGGCTCTGCCTGACGGCTGGCTTCGCGGAGAGCAGTGAAGGGGCGCTGGCCCAGGTTCTGCCGGGCGACCACCCCGTGCGTTTGTCCTCGGCGAGGGCGCGCGCCAGGTGCATGCCGGCGCGCGCGGCTCCGAGCCCGCGGCGCGCCGACTCGGGAGCGCGCGCCGAGGCGCTGCGAACGCATTTCTGCAGCGGCGCAGCCGCCGCCAAAACGCGGCCGGACCTCGTGGCTAGACTTTGCCTGGCGTTCGCCGCCTTCCGTGCAAGCCGCCCCGCGCGCGCCCGCGCTACCCGCAGGGCGCGGATGCATAGGCATTTCTCTTTGGCATTTGCGGGCGAGCTTGTTGTCGCGGCCGTCGCGCTTGAACTGCGAATCCGCATTTGCTGCGTTCCGCATGCGCCGGATTCTGCAGTCTCGCCGTGGGCGCCGCCCACGCGCGGCGGGCGCGTGGCGTTCTTCCGCGCCCGGGCGGCGCGGGCGACGTTATACGCGGTGGTAGCAACGATGTCCACTATGCCTACTTGTCGCCGCGCGGGCGGATGGCGCCGAGCTCTGCTAGCGCCCTGAGCGCGCGCGAGCAGGGGGGGGGGCCATGCGCGTCGGGGGACAGGGCGGCGAAGTTGAGGCGCTCGCACTCGGGGCCTACGCCGCCACCGCCGCGGCAGCCCCAGCGAGCCACCTCGCCCTCCTTCGTCGCCAGACTCTGCCAGCGGGAAGCGGGTAGCGAGTGCGATGGGGCGCGGCGCGCAGGGTTTAGCAGCGGGAGTGGGCATGCAATGGAAGTGTGTTTCTCGAGTGCGCAGCCGTTAGTGCATGCGCCTGCGCGCAGTAGACCCCTCGGGCGTTCGACATAGAAGGCGGCTCGCCACTAAGTGACGCTGGCATCGCGCCATGGTGCACCAGCGCGTAGCGGAAACCATCATGTCACATCGCTTCGCGTATGTCAGAATTCTGATATCAGGAAACCTGCGCCAGCGTGCCATATTGGTAGATAGCGATCTGCATGCATATAGTTACACATATATATATATACACACGTACATTCATATACATATATATATATATATATATATATATATATATATATGTATATATATGTCTATATCTATATATACGCATGTCTACTCACTTGTTATGTAGACATACATCTCGATGTATACATTTATATATATAGAGAGAGAACAAAAAACTGTGGGTGCCCCGAATAGACAATTCGATCGATAAGTCGATCGATGGGTATATGTGCGCAATTATAGGCATGATTCGGGAAACTCCAAAGAATCCAGAGCCATCGCAAATCGACCGCCTTCCCTTCCCCGCCAAACTTCCCTGTCACCAGTAGGGTGGTCGTATTTGTATTTCCGGTGCGTTGTGCACCTCTGTCCCCCAGCGGGCCTTGTGATTGACAGCAGCTTCGGGCTTCTGCCGCCGTATGGCGACGACCCCCACCCCCCCTTCCCTCCTTTTTCGTGGCATTCCCCCGCACCCTCCCATCTCCATCGCGGCGTCCCTGCGCGCACGGCCCCAGCCAGGAGGAGTCGGAGAGGCTGCAGGGGTGGCTGCAGGAGGCGGACACGGAACGCCCCCCCCCCGCACCCGCGGCGCCTTTCGGCGGTGCCCCGCGGAAAGCGCCAAAGCCGAGCGGAGAGAGAAGTGGGAGCGCGAGGAGGAGGAGGAGGAGGAGGAGGAGGAGGAGGAGGAGGAGGAGGAGGAGGAGGAGGGGATGCAGAATGCAGACCCCCAAACGCAGGATGAAGGGTGGCGCGCGGGTCTACCTTTTCGGCCGTGACCTTTCCGCTCCTGAAAGGCCATGGCCGATCAGTGCGATTGTTTGATGATATTGGAGAAGGCCACCTGAACGCCCCCTTTTTCTATGCAGCGGAACCGTATTTGTCTGTCCGAGGCAGCGTTGTTTCGAGGAAGCGCACTTGTGGATTAAGGCGGCTGGGTTAGCGACGGGCCCCGTTGCCGTACAATTTGGGGCGAACCGGCGGTATTGGCGCCATGCTTGGGTGGTGGTGGTTTCAAGCGGGCGCTACCGTGGGGAGGGAAGGGGGCCGGATGCGCCACGTTTCGTGCCGGCGCCGTCTGGGAATGTTTAGGGATCCCCCAAAACAGCTCGGATGCCAGATGCCTGCCAGGATTTGCTACAGCAGAGCGCGCACACCTACGAGGATCTGCTGCGGCAGAACGCGATTTCCCTTTTCCTTTCCCTCCTGTCCTCTCTCATCGCTCCATCTTTCGTCGTCCTCGTAATCGTTGCACTGGAAGGTGCCTCTCGCGCCAGAGTGGAAAAAGGGGGGCAGTTGGGGGGAGGGGGGAGACCGAAGCACATCGCGACAGCTGGAACGTGAGGAAGCAGGCCATTTCGGCACTTGGCCCAGCCTGCCCCGCCCCCTGCCGCCTCCCAGCCCCTCCTGCTGCGCTTGCTCGGCCACGCGAAGAGAGGGACAAGGGGAGGGGGGAGGGCTTCTTTAAGGAGGGACAAATCTGACAGACACAATGACTCGCCGATTCCCCAGAAAATATGGGGAAATATGCGAAGTGGGGGGAGAGACCAAACCCCGAAAATATTTGAAAATATGGGGAATCCTGTTACTTGTGTCTATTTAGTTGTGTGTCCCAGGGCCCCTTCATTCTTAGAGGCACCCCTGCTTCTGAGAAGGCGCGGGCCTTGTCTGCAGATGTAGGGCCGGCGTCTTTTCTGAGAGGCAGCCTGTTTCCAAGAAGCCCTCCCCCTGCCCCATATCCCCTTTTGTGCGCCCCGCCAACTTGCACGCAGCACCTTGCAATATTTCGAAGAAGACCAGGACGACGAGAGGAGGAACGCGATGACGACGTCGACGACGATGCCGCCGACGACGACGACGACGGGAAGAGGATGAGCAGGAACAGGAGGAGGGGGAGAAGGGACACGCTCTACCGTAGCAGATCCTTATGGGTAGTTGTTGTCCGAGCTGTCTTCGCGATTCCTGCGCATTCCCAGACGGCGCCAGCGCGAAACGTGACGCTACCAGGGGGTGAGAGGCGGCGGGGCCGCTTGGCATCGCTCGGACCGGTGCGTTTTTTTCCCGGGCGAGGATAAGCCTGAGACATCCTTGCAATGTATCTGGTTGGCGAGGTCACGACCACAGCAATGGCCTCCGTTCAATGCTCTCCGACAGCTTACGCAAAGTCGCCTCTGCCAGGCACATCCTCGTACTCAGAAGTGGCGCTCCCGTCCAGGAGTTCCTGGTAAGCTGTGCACTCGGGGGTGGACAGACCTACCCTGACACGTCGATTAAGGAATTGGCCGTTTTCGGTTCGCGAGAGGGCGTCGCGGCCGTCATTTTTGCGGGTCCAGGTCCGTCGGTTTCGGTCCCAGGTCGTTTTCACTAAGGGGAGGTCTACTAAAGAAGGGAGGCTTGTCCACCGCTGATGCACGTTGGTGAGCTGAGCGGCTGCTCCCACTGGAGGCCCTCGCCAATCTGCCCAGGAGTCGCGGTCTGCTCAACCAGTGTGCCCTCGCCGCCCTGGGCGCGGTCTTCGTGGTGCACCCGTACGTGAATTTCTCCTTGGCATCGCTCGGACGTGTGCATTTTTCTTCGGCGAGGACCATCGAGGAGCATCCTTGATCATTTGGCGAAAATGCCACGCACGAAACCGAAAAAAGCACAGGGAATGGACGTCCGAGAGATGGCCAGTTCTCGCGCTTCTAAGAACGCCTCAACCTTACTCCCATGGTGGACCCTCTCCCTCGCCCCTTCCCCTTCCTTCCTTCTTCCTCTCCCTTCACCTCTGCAGGGTCCGAACTCTGCGTTCTCGTGCCCGTGACGGGTGTACGTTCGTAGCCTTTGCGTGCGGATGCAGAGGTTTGTTTTGTCGCAGCGCCGTTGATGGCACGGCAAGGTCGGAGCGTAAGCGAGGAGACAGAGGGGAATCAACACAGGGGTGGGTCGCGAATGCGTGTCTTATCGCCCGCCCCCGTGCTGACGTTGCGGGACATGCTGATTGCTGCGCTCCGCAGCCCCTCGCAAGGCTCGGGAGAAGATTCCATCATCGATTCAGGAAGCTATCGCCTCACCGCCGCCCACTTCGGGCCCTCGGAGCGAGGAGGCCAATCGACACAGTGGAGCGGCGAGGGGAAACGGCCGTGGGGAGGGGGGGGGCACCGAGGCGGGGGCGAGGGAGGCACGCCGAGGCCATAGCTGGGCCCCGCGGAGGAGTCGATGCTCGGACCGGGGCCAGGCCGCGGTTGGCGCGAGGGGCGGTGAAGCCCTGCCGGTGGGGCGCAGGGCCTGGGATCGCGCGAGCAGGGCTCGAGGAGAGTCCTCCTCCTCCTCCTCCTCCTCCTCCTCCTCCTCCTCCTCCTCCTCCTCCTCCCTCTCCTCCTCCTCCTCCTCCTCCTCCTCCTCCTCCTCCTCCTCCTCTTCCTCCTCCTCCTCCTCCTCCTCCTCCTCCTCCCTCTCCTCCCCCTAGCCGTTCTGGCTCAGGCCGTTTGGGGCTGAGCTTGCAAGCGCGTACTTCAGAGCTGCTCGCGCTTGCGGGCCAATCTTTTCGACTTACACGCGGCCAGTGTGGCCAGCCGTCCGCGCGGGGGCTCCCGCCGTGGATGGCCCCCCTCGATGGTCAAGTGCTGCCAGGGCCGCGCACGCCTCACTGGGGCTGCTCGTGCGGCGTGGCCGACAACTGGGCGTCGAGGATCTCGTGCCGTCTGTGCGGTCGTCCTGCTGCGCAGAAGACCCTCCAGGCTGCACGCCAGGCTGCTGTCAAAGCGCGTGTGCCTCAGCAGCCTCAAGGGCCCAAGCCTAAGCCGATCGGCAAATGGGCTCAGGGCCCCCCAGGGAATGCCAACGCGAAGATGCTCAGGCAGCTCCAGGACTTGCAGCAGCAGGTTGCCCAGCTCACTGGAGGAGGGACCCCACCGCCGTCAGGAGGGGCGCCTCCATGGGCCACTGGAGGTGCTGGCGGAGGCAGAGGAGGCAGCAGCGGAGGTGGATCTGCGCAGCCTTCCACAGGACAAGATGTACTCGCCTACCTCAAGAAGCTTGGTGTCGACAGCTCGGCAACTGCGGCAGTTGAGGAGGCGGAACAGAAGGCTACGGAAGCGAAGGAGCGGGCGCCCACGGCACAGTCGGTGCGCTGGAAGGTTGAGAACCTCAAGACCAAGGTCACGAAGATGGAAGCGCGGATCAATGAGATCGAGCGGCAGCGTTCAGCCTTGGAGGAGGAGCTCGCGACGGCCAAGACGAATCTCGACAAAGGGCGTGAGGACCTTGTGCAGGCCCAGGAGCTGCTATGTAAGGCGCACGCCAACAAGTTCGACGACCCGCTCAAGGCCATGTCGGCTGGGCTCGACGCATCCGTCGTCGAATCGACCGAGGGCAAGGCCGCGCTGGAAAAGCTGCAGCAGCTGCAACAGGATGCACAAGTGGCTGCTCGGGCCGCTGCTGCGTCTGCAGGTGCTGCTAGTGGTGCCCAACCACCTACTGCTGCCAGTGGTGAGCACATCTCCGCCGAGGATGGAGACAGCGACGACATCGATATGGAGCTGCTTGGAGGTGAGGACTTCGAGGAGCGCACGCAGGCCTTCAACGAGGCCGCCGAGGAACTCAAGGCAGCCAAGGGCGGACCTCAGGAGGCACTGGGCGCTGCCAAACGCAAGTACCTCGAGGCAGCTCTGGCCATCGGGGTCAAGCGTGCTAGGAAGAGTTCCTAACCCGAGCGTGGTCGTCGACAGCAGGGTTGGCATGGCCAACCTAGAGGGGTTCCTCGGAAGCAACATGATCGACTACGACTGGGAGCAGGCCACGGGCTTCGCAGTTCCAGCCGCGAGGGACGACCTGCTGTTCGAGTCGACCCTGTTCAGGCAGATGGACGTCGTGGGCGCGCCTCTGCTGGAACCTGCAGAGTGGCCACTTCCAGGCGCTGGACGCGATGCGGGCCGTGGGCCCATGGGCGGATGGGACAGGGATTCAGCCCCTGGAAGTCACACCCCTCCGCCCTCAAGCACTGGGGCTTCTAGTTCGTCAGGTTCGCGCGCGGCGACTGCGACGAGTGGCGCGCTCACGGCTCCTCAGGAGCTGCAGAAGTCGCCGCAGGGACTGGGGGTACCAGCGGGACTTCGAGGGCTCTCCCCCAACTGGCCCACTTCGGGGTTGGGGGCATGTGCGACACAGAGGGCCTCTTCGTCGACTCAGAGGGCGGGTACTTCGGCGTCTTCGGCGCGGGCTCCTGTAGGCACGCACTGCTCAGCGCCACCTGCTGACATCGAGGGCGCCGGAGGGTGCCGACCTTCGGCAGCTGCCGTTGGCACGCACCGCTCAGCGCACCTCGTCAGCCGTGTGGGGCCAGAGGGAACCGACCTTCAGGGGCCGCTGGCACAGCTGGCTGCGGAAGTGGAGACCGCGATCCCTTCGCCCCATGTTGAGCTGGATTCGGATGCGAAAAATCGGTCAGAACTCGACAGGGGGGCGCTCGCACCCCCTGCTCGTAATCTTCTAGCGGGCGAATGTGCACGTCGAGATGCACAGGGCCTCGCTTTGCAGGTGAAGAGTTTTGCTGCGGAGGGGGCTCGTCGTCAGCCTCAGTCGGTGGC